GCACAAGAATTGTTTGAACCCGGAAGGCAAAGGTTGCAGTGAGCTGAGATCGAGCCATCGCACTCCAGCCTGGGTAACAGAGCAAGACTCTGCCTCAAAAAAAAAGAAAAGAAAAGAAAAGAAAAGGACATTTTTGAAATGGAAGGAAAAATCATGGTTGCAACTGAATTAACTTATATCATTGCCTTCCATCATCTTCTGTACCCTAATCTGTGTTTTCTGATATTTTCATTTTAGATTGTAAATGTGAAAAACAAATTTGGGTCGAGGTCAACTACCGTCTTCAACTATGACAAAAACACTCTTTAGATGAGTGTCTGCATGCATGTAATCCATTATTTATACAACATTATATTTGTGAGATGGAAGAGGAAGTCTAGGGTTCTTATGGCTGCTAAAAGCCCTGTATGAGAAGCAATTATTTCTTTTTGAAATAAGTGTTTTTTTTTTTTTTTTTTTTTTTTTTTTGGATAGAGACAGGGTTTCACCGTGTTACACAGGCTCATCTCAAACTACTGAGCTCAGGCAATCTGCCTGCCTCAGCCTCCCAAAGTGCTAGGATTACAGGCATGAGTTACTGTGCCTGGTCCAGAAATAAGTGTTATATACGGAAACGGAATGTATGTAAATATTTTGCTTTATTTTCTTCCCTGTGTAGTGGCCTAATAAGATAGGAAGATTAAAAAAATATGCAGAATGGCTTTCTCATAGGACTATTTTAAAAAATGTTAAAACATTTACATTTTAATAAATATAAGAATTAGTTCTATAACTTCCGATTATATCACAATTTTTCAAGCTAATATCAATGAATCAAATAGATCCTAAATTATCATAATTTAGGATTGCAATCTAGATACAGTCCTTCAAGTGGGTAGAAGGGGAACTGTAGCTGCTGAGGGACATCTGTTAAGATACTGCTATACCACACCAGCTTTCCTTTTGGTCCTTGTAAAAACGAGAGGTGTCAGCATCCACAGTTTATAGATAAGATGAAGAAACTGAAGCTCGCAAAGTTTAAGTAACTTGTCCATGGTCATACAGCTACAATATAAGGATTTCTTTTTAAAAAACTTAAGTTTTATTTATTTTGAATAGATAAAACATTCATGTGACTCAGAATTCAGAAGTCTTTTTCCATCTGTGGCCACACCCCTCTAGTTCTTGTCTCTTTCAAGGCAACAGTGGCCTTACTCTTGGGTGTCCTTCAAGCACATGCATGTTATATTTGTATGTTCTATTCCCTTCCTCAACATAACTCTGTTCACCGAGCTCTACCCTGGGAAGCTGAGATCTGGGTCCCTATATCTAGTTCCAAAAACAATGTTTCTTTTTTCTGCCTCATCCTTCACATGCTTACCTTTATTTCCTGCATCCTCTATGATTTGATATACTAGTTTTTCTTGATTGTCTGATCCCTTCATTTTACTGCAGGGGAATAAAGTAAAATTAATAAAGTACAGACTATAGGATGATCTAATAATCTACATCACTACTTAAACAAAATTAGCAGACAGGGTCACCACAGTGACATATTTACCAAAAGAAGAGGCTTACCTTAAAAAGAATGAGACAGAGCTGTGTGTACCAACATGTAAAGACGTCCAAGATACAGTAAGTGAAAAAAACAAGTTGCAAAACAGAATGGATAGCATGATTCCATTTTTATTTAAAAAAAGAAAGAAAGATTATATATAAATATATAATCATCTATGTGTATTTTATTATAGTTAGAATAAAGGCTATATACTAAATTATTAAAAGCAGTTACCTCTGGGAAATGAAATATATCACAGGTGGCATACACAGGACAGGTTTATGTAATTTTGTATTAGCTTTCTTCTCAAAACATACATTACTTTTGCAATAATAAAAATTTTCTTAAAATTAGAAAAACATGTACTTACCCAGCATTCTGAGAGTCCTTTATTCTATATAAAAGGCCTGTATTGCTCCTTAAGAGATCCAACTGACCCTAGTTTTTAAGACAGTAGAAAACAGGAGTCAATTATTTTGGAGATATGTTAAATCAAATGACAAATGTTGATGCATTCTTTAACATTCTTAATTTTTTAAAATCTGCTCTTTAACCTCAAAATTTTTCAAAATATTAATACTAACAATTTTTTGTATGCTAGATCTTGGCTGTAGATGTTTGTTTATGTATCATCAACCATGGCTACCTCTTGATAAAATGATAGTAGTTGTGACAGAAACCATATGGCTCACAAAGCCTGAAACATATACTCTCTGGTACTTTGTAGAAAAAGTTTGGCAACCCTTGAGCTAGAAAACTGATGGGAAAGGTTTAAGAAAAGATTCACCTGACCCCAAATCTCCACATCCAGAGCCCTTGGAAATCCAAGAAGCCTAGTAGACTTAAAAAACAAATCAGTCTTTCTGAGGAGAAATTCATGTACTAAAAAGAAAAAACAAAAACAAAAAACCACACAAAAAACCAAATGAGTCATTCAGATGAGGCCTTGGCATGTAACTCTTTAACCTAATTGCTACGAAGCCAAACTGAAATGCTCTCAGGAAAAGGAGGCTTTGATGATGAAGTAAGGAGAGATTTAGGGCATGGGGCCCCACTAGGTGGGTTTTTAGACAGTCTTGTTTGTTTGTTTCTGGACAGTTGGAGAATGGCTTTACTGATAAATTCCACTGTGACGCCACTGGGGGCTAAGGCTGCACTTCCTCCCCAAGGCCCAGCATTCTTCATTCAACTGGACTCATTCTTGCTTGCTGAAATGCTTAGAATGACAATGTGGAGAATGAAACCCTGATGACTTGGCTCTGCGACAATTCAGAAAAATCGGGGGCAGTTGTGGGTGGAGGGGATGGTGTATTTCATAGGAAATGGCCCAACACTAGCAGTGGGAAGCAAACAGAAGGTGAGAACAGACTACGCCTATGTACAGCATTGGCAATTAATAAATACAACAGTTATATTTACTTCATTTGTCTTATAATGCATAATTATTTCTTCTTTTTTCAATTCAGGCAGCTTGAGCTGTTTCCTGGCTTAGAGTCTTATCAATCAAACCTAACACAGTTTCTCGTTTTATGACTGCTGTATTAGGGTTCTCCAGAGAAACAGAAGCAATAGGATACATCTCTCTCTTGAAAGATTCAGTATAAGGTATTTGCTCTGTGATTATGGAGGCTGAGGAATCCCATGATTTGCCCTTTGCAAACTGGAGACCTAGGAAAGCTGGTGTTGGAGATCAAAGGCCTGAGAGCAGAGAGCTGATGGTGTAGATGCCAGTCCGAGTCTGAAGGTCTGAGAACCAGGAGTGCTGAGGGCATGAGATCCACAGCCCAGCTCAAGATAGAATTCAAAGAGTAAATTCAATCTTCCTCTGCCACTTTGTTCTATTTAGGCCCTGAATGGATTGGATGATGCTCGTCCACCATGGACCCACATCTACAGTTCACCAATTCAAAATGCTAATCTCTTCCATAAACACCCTCACAGACACTCCAATAAAAATGTTTAACTAGATATCTAGGAATCCAGTAGCTTAGCCAAGTTGACATGAAATTAACCATCACAACTACATAATAAAAACCAATGATAATCAGCATATCAGTAATTATGAAAATTACTTAGATTCACCTTACCATAGACAACAACCTATTGATGGCTACTGCCCGCTGCTGGGCTTCTATATGAGGCATTTCATTCTGAATTACTTGGTCTGTGATTCCATGAGGGAACTGGTGACATAATTCTATAATCCTAGAAACAAAGGTATTCATGTTACTCTTCGGAGTTACCTGCTTCAAGAGGCAGTGGGGGTAAAAATACAAGCAGAATAGTTTGAAATTGTGCCTTTTCCACAACTGGCAGACAATCTGGGTTTCTGTGATGGTTTTGGATTAAAGCATGTTAGAAATGGAAGATTATTTCTAAATACATGTTTACAGTATTACTGTTATTTAAGAAGAATATTTCTTTTCCTCACTAATATGAACTTTAAATCAGAGCAAAAATCTAATGAAATCACAGGAAAAATATTAAAGCGGAGATTTCAATTTTCTCATATAATAAGCATGACAAAGTTAAGCCATAAACCCGCAAGCAGGAAGCAAATGCAGATGTTTCTGGTGGGGAGCCAAAATTTGTTATGACAATCCACCATACTGGGGGCCTGTTTTTGGAATCATACCTACCAAACAAAAATAAGTCAACGTCTTCACTTAGTCAACAGGATCAACAAATGTATTACTCTTAACAGTTTGAGAAAGTTGGGTCTTTCTCAAACTGCGTGAGAATCTAAGAGTGGCAGTGCCTCGGTAAAGAATATAAAAGTGGCAGAGGCTTTGGGTGCCCTAAAAGTCTTGAGTTCACTACTGCACTGAAAACACCTGGCTTAATGTTGCTTCGTAATCACCAACTGCGTCCTAACTCTGAATAAACGTTTTGTCATAGACGTTCCCTTACTGACAAGAGCGATCCTGGATCAGAACATGCATTTTAAAGTGTTCTACGGGGAAGGAAAGCCCAGAGTCTCCGCTCAAAGCACTGATCACGTCAAAGTTGGAAGGAAGCGCATCATCACAACTTCCCAAAAAGCCAGAGTCCCAAGCCGGAGTCTCCCTGGTTTACCTGTTTTCTATTTCGACCGGATCGGCGTCGGGCGGCTGCACCTTCACCTTCACCTCCGCCATGAGGGCGCAGTTCCTGACGCCTGCGGGGAAAGACGCACTCAGCTGCCCGCTAGCAAGCCGGGGAACCCGGGGACCAGTAAAGGAAAGCGCTCGGCCGAGGGCGAGGGGCCTTCTTCCTCGTGTCGCAGCCGGTCCTTCCTTGCCTTGCGGTGGGAGGTGGCCAAGCCGCGCCTGCGCCTTCCTATTTATAGGCGCCTCGACAGCTTCTTATTCTTGTTTTCCAGAACGTCAATGCCCATCGGACGCACAAGTCTGGTTCCTTCATTCTGGGTTGGGAAGCCAACTTTTAGCACTTTGCAACTCTGTGAAGGAATATTGTCAGATGCCTATTGGAAAGCCCTGGGAAAGGAGCTCCAGGCGGGTACCAGTCTCCCGGCGGCGAGGCAGGGGCGGGGCTAGTTGCTAAGAAGCGGCGTTTCCGCTAATCATCTGCCCTGCTCCCAGTGGGCGGGGCGCGGCTCGCAGCGTCTGTGGTTACCCGGGTGGCGGCTAAGGAGGAGGCAAAAAGCGGTGAGAGGCCGGCGATCGGGTTGAGGGCGGTAGAGACGCATTAGGGGGTCTCGATCGGTTAGAGGAAGAGGAGGGCGGTTAGAGGAGAAGAGCTTCCCTTACTCCAGCAGAAAGGATGTAGGTGTCCTTGGCAGCCCGTGATGGGCGGGGACGAACAAACGGGGTTCCAGATCCGGGTTGCGAGGCGGGGCAGTCCAAGTTGGGAGAACTGAGGGGTCTGGGAATCCTGTTGACCGCACGCTGCCATTGGGCCTGACGGACCCGCCCTTTTCTTGATTCCCTTTGCATGGGGGCCCTGGCCACCCCAGCTTCCTAAGGGCAGCTGCTATTTGACGCTCGCGAATTACTCTCTTTCCTACACATTTTTATTTAGAATTAATTTTCCAACTACTTTTATTTTATCTGCCTTTCACTTGAATGGAAATGCGACTACGGGCAAGTCTCAAGCCAGCCACACTCCTGTAGAAGCTGATGCGGTGCTGTCAGTATCTGTAGTTTATATTCTTGGCCCTCGATCCGAAACTATCCAACAAGGCATTAAGTTCATCCCTTAAATTTACTTACCCCACTTTCGAGAATACAGTCTGTACAAAGCTCAAACTGCAGAGATGTTCAGATCAGCATTATTATAACTGCAACAGGCAAAACTAAAAAGAAACTAGAAATAGCCTAAATGCTCAGCCACAAACGAGTAAATAAATACATGGAAAACTGTAAAGAATACAGGGAGAATGCAAGAAGTAGACTATAAAAATGGAATGAATATGTATATTATAAGTGAGTAAAATCTATGGATTCTTAATAAAATTTGAAAAGGCAATACAGAGATGTAAATGGTTGCCGTGTTAAGTGAGCATTTTTCCCCCTGAAAGCTTCTGTGCATTAAACATATGACAGCCTTCCTCCCTACCCTCATCTCCAGAAAGACCAGTAAGGCTTTCATACTGATAATTAATTATAAATACCAGGATTTATAAATACAGTAGATGGAAAAGGAGGCTTGTGTTTGTTGGTCACTGTTTATCTTCTTGCAAACTTCCTTTCCACTGAGTAGTAGTACTCTGCAGTCCTTCTAAAGTGTCTTTGCAGCTTTCAAATTCTAGAACTGCTATGGTGACAATGGCAAGGCTGTGAGCCTGGAGCTTTCCCAAAAAAGTTAGTTCTAACTAACATTTTGTGGTACACACAGGGTTACTTCTGTTCCCCTTGTATGATGATTTGCCCTGAAACCAAGAGAACTGACACACACCAGAGGCAGGAAAAGGCGATAATGATTTAAAGGGAACTCAAGTCAGAGAATTAGTGATAGAGAGACCTCTTTTGCCTTACTCATTTAATTTGCTCTTTTAAAGTAACTTCTTTCCCCCATCTCATTCATTTACACTCCTTTCTCAGAAATGAGGTATTTAGATAATTGAAATCCCACACAAGACCTCAACAGCAAATACAGCTGAAATGTAATAATTATTTCCATTAAAGAGGGAATACTATTTATAGTACCATATTAACAGTATTCTTTTTCATTTTTACTAGTTTTGCTGCATTTAAATTAAGTGCTGCTCTTCGGCTTGTGTGTACAGCTGCAAGTGCACATTCAAGTTTTTTAAAAAATATATATATAAGGAGAGAAAATGACTGCTGGTTCAGTGTGTGTCCCTCAGATCATACCGCTACGAGTGCCTCAGCCTGGAAAAGCTAACCATGAAATTGATAACAATACGCTTTTGGAAATGAAATCGGGTAAGGATCGCATATATTTGAAATTGTTTAAAATAACATTGTTATATTTCTTGTGTTTATCTGGTTCCTGATTTATCTCTTTGCATGCTTTCTCACTCTTTGCTCTGCTCTTTGGGAAATTTGTGAAACTTCTAAAATTTGAAACAGTACTGTCCATTGATGGTTTACAGACTGGTATACATTTAGATGAAAATGGTTTGCTTTGGCCACCCTTTATTTGTATAATTTCAGCAATATCTTGACTTACCTTAGCCAAGGTAAGATGTCCTGGTGCTGGCTGGGTGTGGTGGTTCATACCTATAATCCCAGCACTTTGGCAGCAAGGCAGGCAGATAACTTGAGGTCAGGAGTTTAAGACCAGCTGGCCAACATGGCAACACTCCGACTCTACTAAAAATACAAAAAATAGCCAGATGTAGTGGTGGGCACCTGTAATCCCAGCAACTCAGATGGCTGAGGCAGGAGAACTGCGTGAACTCAGGCAACACAGGTTGCAGTGAGCCAAGATTGTACCAGTGCACTCCAGCCTGGGCAACAGAGCGAGACTCCATCTGAAAAAAAAATGTCCTGGTACTTCCCCAAACTTTTTCAGTATGCTCATTATTTAGCTGGTATAATAAATTTGACCTACAGGCTTTCTAGTCAGATAAATTGGAGACTTAATCTCTGCCTTGGCAACTTCTAGTGACCCCGGGTATGTTACTTAGCCTTTTTGAGCCTCAGTTTCCTCACTGTAAGGCAGGGATAATAATGTCTACTTTTTAGAGCCATTGTGAGGATTAAATAGGTTCGTGTATGTATGAGGTGCACAGGATTTGGCATGTAGTAAAGCTAAAATAAATCTCAACTGTAATTACAGAAATAAAGCAATGTGGACTGGCCATGGTGGCTCACACCTGTAGTCCCAGCACTTTGGGAGGCCAAATCGGGTGGATCACCTGAGGTCAGGAGTTTGAGAGCAGCCTGACCAAAATGGTGAAACCCTGCCTCTACTAAAAATACAAAATTAGCGAGGCACGGTGGCCAATGCCTGTAATCCCAGCTACTCAGGAGGCTGAGGCAGGAGAATTGCCTGAACCCAGGAGGCGGAGGTTGCGGTGAGCCGAGATCGCGCCATTGCACTCCAGCCTGGGTAACAAGAGCGAAACGCCCTCTCAAAAAAAAAAAAAAAAAAAAAAAAAAAAAAAAAAAAAAAAGCAGTGAATGTATATCCTGCTAATATTTATTCTTTCTTTTTTTTTCTTTTTTCTGAGACGGAGTTTCACTCTTGTTACCCAGGCTGGAGTGCAATGGCGCGATCTCGGCTCATCGCAACCTCCGCCTCCTGGGTTCAGGCAATTCTCCTGCCTCAGCCTCCTGAGTAGCTGGGATTATAGGCACGCACCACCATGCCCAGCTAATGTTTTGTATTTTTAGTAGAGACGAGGTTTCACCATTTTGGTCAGGCTGCTCTCGAACTCCTGACCTCAGGTGATCCACCCGATTTGGCCTCCCAAAGTGCTGGGATTACAGGTGTGAGCCACTGCACCCGGCCTTTTTTTTCTTTTAAAGATGGGGTTTCACCATTATGGCCAGGCTGGTCTTGAACTCCTGGCCTCAGGTGATCCACCCACCTCAGCCTCCCAAAGTGCTGGGATTACAGGTGTGAGCGACTGCGCCTGGCCCTTTTTTTTTTTTTTTTTTTTTTTGAGATGGAGTCTTGCTGTTGTTGGCCCAGGCCGGAGTACAATGGCACAATCTTGGCTCATTGCAACCTCTGCCTCCCAGGTGCCAGCAATTCTCCTGCCTCAAGTTCCCCAGTAGCAGAGATTACAGGCACCTACCACCTTGCCCAGCTGATTTTTGTATTTTTAATTGAGACTGGGTGTCACCACATTGGCCAGGCGGGAACTACTGGAACTACTGACCTCAGGTGATCCACCCACCTTGGCCTCCCAGAGTGCTGGGATTACAGGTGAAAACCATCACACCTGGCCCAAATTCTTAAATATGTGTGTCTATGTACACATACACATATATACATATACATATACACATATAAATTAACATAAGGAAGAAAAGTTTTATAGGTAAAACATAGGAACAAATATTTGTATAAAAAGGACTTTGAAATTTCAATTATGTATTTGTTTTCATTTTTGTCTTTTTTTAAACCAATTATTAGATGTTAATAACTGAAATGTACACAAGCTTTCTGCATCTATGGTATGCCTCTGTGCTGCTTTGACCAAGAGTACCAGCTAAGAATACGTATTATTATCTGTGTTCTCCTTTAGCTTAAAAGCTGATACGATTTTTTAAATTGTCAAACCGAATTAAACATTTTTTTTTTTTGAAACGGAGTTTCGCTCTTGTTACCCAGGCTGGAGTGCAACGGCGCGATCTCGGCTCACCGCAACCTCCGCCTCCTGGGTTCAGGCAATTCTCCTGCCTCAGCCTCCTGAGTAGCTGGGATTACAGGCACGAGCCACCATACTCAGCTAATTTTTTGTATTTTTAGTTGAGACGGGGTTTCACCATGTTGACCATGATGGTCTTGATCTCTCGACCTCGTGATCCACCCGCCTCGGCCTCCCAAAGTGCTGGGATTACAGGCTTGAGCCACCGCGCCCGGCCAAATTAAATATTTTAATATATGTGCTCATAATTCTTAGGAAAACTAAAAAAAAAAAAAAAAAAGGATAACACACTATATGAGGAAGATTGTGGTCAAATAGGTGCTTTCATGCATTACTGGTGTCAGTGAAAATTGTTTAACCATACAGAGGGCAGTTTGGAAATATATATATATGTATGTATATTTTTGAGATGGAGTCTTGCTATGTTGCCAGGCTGGAGTGCAGTGGCACAATCTCAGCACATTGTAACCTCCACCTCCCAGGTTCAAGTGATTCTCCTGCCTCAGCCTCCTGAATAGCTGGGATTACAGGATGTGCCACTGCACCCAACCAATTTGGAAATATTAATCAAGATTACAAATGCTGGCCAGGCACGGCTCGTCAGTCACACCTGTAATCCCAGCACTTTGGGAGGCCGAGGAGGGCAGGTCACCTGAGGGTAGGAGTTTGAGACTACCCTGGTCAACATGGCAAAACCCCATCTCTACTAAAAATACAAAAATTAGCTGGGTGTGGTGGTGGATACCGATAATCCCAGCTACTCAGGAGGCTGAGGCCAGAGAATTGCTTGAACTCTGGAGGTAGAGGTTGTAGTGAGCTGAGATTGTGCCAAAGCACTCCAGCCTGGGCAACAAGAGCAATACTCACTCTCAACAAAAATAAATACATAAATAAGAAAGAGATTACAAATGCATATATCTTTGACTCAGCAGTACTAGTTCTACATATTTGTCTTGCCCATATATTTACAGAAGTAATTGTCTACAAAATTATTTATTACAGTGCTTATAACTGCAGAGGAAACAAAGAAAAGGAAAAAAGAAGACAGCTTTAAGATCTGTCTGTAAGGAATTGGTTAAATTATTGTTCATCTATATAAGAGAATGTGATGCAGCTATAACAAAGAATGAGGAAGCTCTTTTTTTAAAAAAAATATAATTGAAATTTATTTCCTAGGAAGCTCTGTATGTACCAATAGAAGACATAGTATTAAATGAAAAATGAAATGTGTGGAACAGGTTATAGTTGCCATCATTTGTGTCAAAAGAGAGGGGGAAATAATGATATGTACATAAATGCTTGTATGGATATAAAATATTTCTTGAAAGTTACTGAAGATGCCATTGATAGCCTGTGGAAAGCTGGTGTCAAGAGTCAGAGGAGACGCCTTTTGACCTTTTGAGTCTTGAATCATGTTTCTATCAGCACCCTGTTGGAGAGGCAAAAAGGCATAGTGGTTCAAGAGCATGGGCTATGGATCCAACCTAGCATAAGTCAAACCGCGACTCCTCTATTATTTAACAATCTCTCTAGGACTCAGTTATCTCATCTACAAAATGAGTATAAAATAGGATCTACCTCATAGGATTGTACAGATGAAATGGGTTCATTCCTGTAAAGCACAGTGCTGGTACAGAGAAGAACTGCATTATCGTTATTACTATTCATTTCCATTATGTATATATAATAACCTATAGGTCAGTTATTTAAGGAGATTAACACAATCACAACTTTAAATCTTAAATCACAACTTTAAATCTTAAATCACACACTTAAATCTTAAATATTAAACTGACCCATAGGCATTATTCAGGAACTTGCTACTTTGGTGTTAGTTATAGTTATCTTGTTTTGGATTTTTCAGACACCCCAGATGTCAACATATATTATACTCTGGATGGCAGCAAACCTGAATTTCTAAAGAGAGTTGGTTATGGTGAAAATAACACATTTAAGTATATAAAACCTATTACTCTGCCTGATGGAAAAATACAAGTTAAAGCTATCGCTGTGTCAAAGTAAGTTAAGAACACGGTGATTAATTTATAACATAATAACATTATGTTCTAATTTTATTCATTTTTTTCTATCAGAATCAGTGCTGTATTAGAAGGACACTAATGAAATTTTATTTTAATTTCAGCATACATACGTAACATTTGTATTTTACTTGCCTTTCATTGTGAAGTGCAGAAATCATAAGTAAACAGCTCAATTTTCTGGTCTTTAAATATCTGTAACACTTCATAAATATATGAAGTGTTAGATATATTCATTCTGTTTTTATTTTAAATTCCACATTGGGGTTTCAGGAAGGAAGATCCTTTCCAGGACTGGGGGCCTCTAAAGAGCTCCATCTGGCTCAGAAGAAAATGCCGTGTTTATGGAGTGGCTCTTTTATTCCCCAGATGCAGCCTACAACTACCGCCATCATTCTTGATTTCATTTTATATTTGCTTAATTGGCCTTCGAAGTTGCTGTCATTTCAACTTGTTGGGCATTAGCTACCATACTTTTCTCTTTATCCTTTTTTTTCTTTTCTTTTCTTTTCTTTTTTTTTTTTTTTGAGACAGTTTCACTCTTGTTACCCAGGCTGGAGTGCAATGGCGCGATCTCGGCTCACCGAAACCTCCGCCTCCTGGGTTCAGGCAATTCTCCTGCCTCAGCCTCCTGAGTAGCTGGGATTACAGGCACGCACCACCATGCCCAGATAATGTTTTGTATTTTTAGTAGAGACGGGGTTTCACCACGTTGACCAGGATGGTCTCGATCTCTTGACCTTGTGATCCACCCGCCTCGGCCTCCCAAAGTGCTGGGATTACAGGCTTGAGCCACCGCGCCTGGCCTTATCCTTTTTTTTCTTACTCAATGACTTTTTCTCATTTTCAAATATAGAAACACTATTTAATTTGGAAACCTTCACCATGTGTTGTAGGAAAAAAATAACTGAAATGCTTGGCAGATCTGTGTGGCTGTGTAATAGGAATTATTTTTCCAGCAACGCAGGTTTGGCCACATTTTGGGAACATTTTAAAGCCCCAAACCAAATACAGTACCTGGCTGGCCCAGGTACTTTAAAAAGACACCAGCCCCATCCCCCCACTGGCTGAGTTACTGCATGGCTTTTTGAGGAAAGCTACACATTCCACAGCAAACACGATCGCTTTGGCATCTGAAAATTAAAACAATCAAATAAAATGAAACAAACAACCTCTTTATGCACATTATTATTATTATTTTTAAGTGGATTCTGCAAATGGAGTATGCGGACGTTATTATTCTTTTAAAATATTGGAACGTGTAGCCTTTTTTCACTTGCCAAGCCACTTCTATCAAGGTAAGTCATCTCAATTACTAAAAATTAAGAAGCTAAATACTCTGGTGGCCAAATGCTGTAACGCAGGCCTCCTTAGAAGCTGCAAGTAGTATTAAAATGAAGAAGCAATTTAATGACTGACTGTACAGTTTGAAGGAGCTAACAAGGCTTTCAAAAATGAGTAAAAAATAAGGTCATTCTTTATGCCTCTCGCCATTCTGCTCTTTGCCCACTAAGTGTCTATTCTGAAAGGTACTGTTAATGTTTCAGATGTGCTCAGCTTAGGGAAAGTATTTATATAAAAAATTTTTGAGTTTTCAACTCAAAAGGTGAATGCCTTAGCTGGTTCCCCAAGGAAGGGTCTGCTGCAGGTGGAGAAAACAACCTGGATGTTAGAGGGGTGGAACAGGTGGCTAAGAGCCAGGCTTCTACTGATGTGACCTCATGTAGGGTTGTTAAGTGTGCATTCAGGGAGCCTTGTGACCATCCAGGATTCCGGTGATCCTTGGATGGAGAAGCTTGTGATGTCTGGAAGTGTGCTAACAGGAAGGACAATTGGATCCTGAATGACAGGCCTGGGGCCAAAGGTGAACATGTAGAACATCCAGAGATGGATGCCAAGGTGAATGAGTTAAGCAAGTGGTTCATCTAAAAGATCATCTACATCTGTATCCATATTTATGAATCTGTTTAACATTAAATGGCATAGAAGTTTTAAGCTACCTTTCTAGAAGATGGAGAAAAAAATTCTTAGAAATACACAATTCATCTAAATAGTCACTACCTATCAGTGAGTGACAATATTTAGAAATAACATACTCAGCTTTCTGTGATCAGAAGACACTTGCATGTTCACTGGCTGGAGTGACTCAGAGGTGGCTGAATTTCTTTTTAAAAAATCTCTCTTTTTAAAAAAATAACAAAACCAGATTTACAGATTCATATATTTACCCCTCTAAGATCCAGGGATACTTATTAAAGATTCGAAAACTATAAGAAATATGAAATATGGATGTGTAAGAAATCTGAGCAGTTGCTAAAGAAATGCTAATGAAACAGATAATATGAATTAAAGATCAGTATGAAAATCAGTAAGGGCAAAGCAGAAAAAGAACACCGAAGAAAGAAAATGGTTGAAAATATAAAAAGTATTAAGAGACTGGGCAGATCAAATAGAAACACTGGCTGTGGGTAACCAGTGAGCCATAATCACACAGAGTATAACATAGAAAAGATGAGCTTTCAATGCAAGTGAGGAAGGGTGAGAGTTAGACACATCAAGTAAATATGCCAAGTGTGGTAATGATGACATGGCTGGCAGAGGCTGCTGAATGTCTCCCAATATCTGTTCTTCCCTTCCATAATAATACGGCCCATGATTTTTAGCTAGGCACATGGTTGCCTAGAAGATATTTCCCAGTCCCCGTTGCAGCTAGTTAAAGATGTGTCGCCAGGCTGTACCCAATGGATATATGTAGAAGTGATGTGTTCAACTTTAAGATTGCACCTTTAAAGAGAAAGGGTGGGCTTTGCTTCCAACTGGCTAGAATGTGGATGTGGTTGGCTAGTCAAGTTGGGCTATGGGGATAAATGCAATGTCATAGAAATGATGGAGTAACAAGGTAGAAACTTGATGTCATGCTCTTGTCACCATGACACCCCTGTGTCAGCCCCAGACTGCTTATCCCCTATTACTTATGTCTTGTTTAAGCCTCTGTTGTTTTGTTTGTTTGTTCATTTGCTTTTTGAGACAGGGTCTTGCTGCGTTCACCCAGACTGGAGTGTAGTGGCATGATCTTGGGTCACTGCACCTCTGGCTCCTGGGTTCAAGCGTCAGCCTCCTGAGTAGCTGGGATTACAGGTGTGCACCATGACAGCCCAGCTAGTTTTTTGTATTTTTGGTAGAGATGGGGTTTGTTATGTTGTCCAGGCTGGTCTTGAACTCCTGGCCTCCACCTGCCTTGGCCTCCCAAAGTGCTGGGATTACAGAAGTGAGCCACCATGCCCTCCTTAAAACCACTGTTGTTTTGATTCTGTGTTACAACAGCCAAGCCTGTATCTTGATAGACAAGGGATAAGTATCAAGCAAATACCTGCGGAGAACATGATCAGGAGTACAGGTCATCATCAAGACTGATAATATCAAGTGTCAGTAAGTATGTAGAGAAACTGAAACCCTCAGCTAATGCTGTTGGGAATTTAAAATGGAACAGCCACAGTTTGGCAGTTTCTAAAAATTAAACACATACCTGCCGTACAACCCAGCAATTCCACTCCTTGGTATCTATTGAAGAGAAATGAAAACATGTCCACGTAAAGACTTATATGTGAATGTTCATAGCAGCATTATCCGTAATAACCCAAACTCAGAAATAATCCAAATGACCATCAACTGGGAAGTAGACATAAAAATTGTGGTATATCCATAAAATGGAATACTACACAACAATAACAGTGAACAAGTTACAAAAACATGGATGAGCCTCAGAATAAGGAGATAAAAGGCCAGGCGCGGTGGCTCACACCTGTAATCCCAGCACTTTGGAAGGCCGAGGCGGGTGGATCACCTGAGGTCAGGAGTTTGAGACCAGGTTGGCCAATATGGTGAAGCCCCATCACTACTAAAAATACAAAAAATTAGCCAGGCATTGTGGCATGCACCTGTAATCCCAGCTACTTGGGAGGCTGAGGCAGGAAAATTGCTTGAACGTGGGAGGCAGAGGTTGCAGTGAGCAGAGATCATACCATTGCACTCTAGCCTGGGCAACAAAGTGGGACTTTGTCTCAAAGAAAAAAAAAAAAAAGAGAGATAAATAAAAAATCCAGACACATAAGATGACTACATATGTATGATTATGTTAAATTTCTAGAAAAGACAAAACTATAGAGATAGGAAACAGATCAGTGGTTGCCTGGGATAGGAGGTGGCAGCAATGAGTGACTGCACATAGGCACAGGGGAATTCTTTTGGATGATGGAAATGTCCTAAGCATTTCTACTGTGGTGGTATTCTCACAATCATGTTCATTGACTGAATCCCATTGAACCAGATACTTAAAACAGATGAATTTTATGCCATGTAAATTAGACCTCAATAAAGCTGTTAAAAAATAGAGTATAGGTGAGCTACTGGTACTACAAGAAAATCACCACTAGTTTTTAGTCATGGGCACTGCTACATTGTCTTCTCATGAAACTTAATTGCGTCAGAGACCGAGATGAATTGCGAAATATGATGAGTAAACGGAAAACGTGATAGTATTTGATGTGGTAGATAGCCTTCAAAAGTGGCCCCAGTGAACCATTATTCATGCCCCTTTGCAGCCTTTCTGCTGGTGTTGTGACTTACTTTTGACTAATAGAATGTTTCAGAAATGATGCCAAGGACTTCTGAGATCACAAGAAGTATTGTAGTTTCTGATTTGGCTTCTTGGGACAAAGACGCTGGTGGGAGTGGGTGGGGTAGCCACGTGCTAAGGAGGAAGTCTGACTACCTGAGGCTTCTGTACTGTGAGGAAGCCCAAGCTAACCACATGGGAGAGAATGGGAGGGACAGAGAGATGGAGACCGAGTGAGGGTGGTAAGTGGCGAGCTCCTAGCTGTTCCAGTTACCCCAGCCCAGGTTTTGCATATTTGAGAGAAGTTGTTTTGGACATCCAGTCCAGTTGAGTCTTCAGTTGATGCCAGCCCTTGCTAATGTCTGATGGCAGCCACGTGGAAAATCTGAAATGAGGCCTACCCAGTGGAGACCAGTGAATCCACAGATTCATGTTTTTTTTTTTTTTTTTTTTTTTTTTTTTTTTTTTTTTTTTTTTTTGAGACGGAGTTTCGCTCTTTTTACCCAGGCTGGAGTGCAATGGCGCGATCTCAGCTCACCGCAACCTCCGCCTCCTGGGTTCAGGCAATTCTCCTGCCTCAGCCTCCTGAGTAGCTCGGATTACAGGCATGTGCCACCATGCCCAGCTACTTTTTTGTATTTTTAGTAGAGATGGGGTTTCACCATATTGACGAGGATGGTCTCGATCTCTTGACCTCGTGATCCACCCGCCTCGGCCTCCCAAAGTGCTGGGATTACAGGCTTGAGCCACCGCGCCTGGCCCAGATTCATGTTTTAAGGCACTACGTTGGGGTGGTTTGTTACATAGCAGTCAATAACCCAAAAGGAAAGAGGTAAGAAAAGAATATAGAAATTATATTTGATTTCTTCAATTTGAAATATAATAAATTTACTAGCTAAAGTACTTTAATAAAATCATCTTCAGTGTCAGCTACTTTTTAAAAATCTTTATGTAACACAGACTTTTTTTTTTTTTATGGTAATTTTCAGAGACTGCCGACAGAGTGGCATTGTGACAAAGGTGTTTCAGGTAGACTATGAACCACCAAATATAGTCTCTCCTGAAGACAATGTTGAAAATGTTCTCAAAGATTCTTCAAAACAGGCAAGTTGCGAAACTATAATCCATTCAGACTGTCACTGTATTTTTGGTTCCTCCTTTCTCAGTGGGCACATCTTGCCTTCTATTACCTTACCTCTGCTCACTGTCAGGTCCTTATCATTGAAGGCAGTTATCAACCGCCGCATGGCATCTTCACTGCTTTCCCAGCCTTTCGTCAGTCTCCTATCCACCCTGAAGATGAGACTTCCTGCTGACCATTGGGAATGTGTCTTCAGTGGCTCCCTCTTACCTACTGAAGAAAGTAGAAACCTTTAGCCTTCCGTCCAAGTGGTCAGTTTCTGCCCTTGGTCGGCCTTTCCTGCTTTGTCTGTGAACCCTCTACATATACTCCACCCAAGTGAACTGTGTGTGCTATGCCCTATCACTGCTATCCTGGCACCCAGGCTGTCTTTTATAAACTGCTTTGAGCATGTGATTACTTTGTTCCTTGTCTGTCTTGCCTACGCATTATAAGCTCCAAGGCGGCATGGTTGCTGTACTCATTGTCTTGCGCAGGGGCAGGCAGGAGAGGGTGGCGAGCGTGTATTTGTTGAATAGATGTATTGGGTAAGTAGAAGTCCTCAGTGGGCATAGAATTATTTTATGTTGAAAGGCTGGGCATGGTGGCACACACCCATAAACCAAGCACTTTGGAGGCCAAGGCGGACGGATCACCTGAGGTTGGGAGTTCAAGACCAGCCTGACCAACATGGTGAAACCTTGTCTTTAAAAAAAAAAAAAAAGAATTATTTTATGTTGAAACCTTCATCCCTAAATAGCTGCAAAGCCTCCCCACTGTGAAGATTCAACTAGATCCATCTGAGAAGGATGTGTGAAGCTTAAGTTACTGGGTATGAACATTAGTGAGATAGATTGAAGGAGCTGGGCCAGAGGATGGACTAGCCTGCAGTAAGGCAGCCAGCCCAGTGGTCTTGGTCACAGGGATGTTGTTGGGAGTGACAGAGGAAGTTTACAGAAATTTCACTTAAGCTTGACCATGAACCTGAAGTTAGAGAGGAAGTTTTGGGACCAAAGCAGCGGATGGAGGCATGGATGGGGCCCAAGTATGATCAAGGTGGGGGTCTACATGGGGCAGGGCCCACATATATCAGCAGGTGCTTAGGCTTGAATCAGATGTGAGGGACCAAGTCAATGGAAAAAGTCTGGAGAGAAGAGGGTTTAAGGACTGTGTGTGGGCAGGTGATGTGCAGAAATCCGATTTGGTCTGACCCTACTCTGCCTTTGCCCTCTGGACTTGGTGGTCCCTCTGTTGTTACCCAGACTCCCAGGATTGTCACATCCTGCCTGCATGTGCTGCTCCCCACCTCCTGTTGTGGCTGCTTCACCTGGTGAGGCCTACATCCAGATGTGCTGGTGCTGTTAACCAAGCAGCCCTGCCCAAATACAAAGTTACATGTTTCCAGAATAAAGTGAAACAGGGTTCACTTCGTAAAAAACGACCTTAAACTCTTTCAAATAACAAATGCACACCGTGACCCTGTCTCTATCGTGCAACTAAACTTTAATTCTCACACGAGAATAGTGTGGTGATTGATAGGCAATTTCTTCATTCCTAGGAATTCAAAAATGGATTTGTTGGATCAAAACTAAAGAAGAAATATAAGAACTCTGAAAATCAACGCAGCTGGAATGTTAACCTTAGGAAGTTTCCAGGTATGATGTGACAGAACAAACACAAAGTTTTATATACTGAACCCACCAAAGAGCATGTTTGTTGCATGTTTTCTTGCCAATAGAGATGTTGGAACAAGAAACACTGGGGCAGGAAAGTATGCTGTACTTTGAATTTTAATGCTGTCCTTGCTAACAGCTTTAGATGATGAAGGAGGATCAAGCAGTCCAACCAAGTCAGATTTCTTGACCCACTGCAAGGAGCCATGGGGGCATCTCACCAAACAGAGGAAAGGCTGGAGTTGCAGGGCTTGGGGGAAGGGTGGAGTTTGGGTGAAATATAAATGAAAGCAGAGTTTTGATAGGCTCAAAGTGAAGCTAGTTTGGGTATGAAGGAATCAGCATCAGGTATGGACTGGGAAGGGGACCCAGGGTTCTGTTGCTGGAAACTACACCGGTGCACAGGGAATACTATGTTCAGAAACAATTATCTCTGCACCAGGGTTGGACATTGAGGCTGCTTCTCTACGTCAAAGTGGCTTAGATCCCCCAGGTAAGAGTTGAATGTTTCGTTCTTATTGAGAATTTCAAACAGCAAAGTTTATGATAATCTGTGCTTTTAGAGAACAGGGTTTCTCAGTGAGAAAGAATAGTCATGGAAAGAGGGGGCTGTTAACAACATTACAGCTGCAGTGTGTTATTGGGAGATATATATTTCCTGCTAACCTTGCAACTGAATTGATCTGTCTGTTTTCTCAGCCTGATGTGGAATACTGTAGAATGCAGCAGGGAGGATTATCTTCTCAGTCTGGGCTTATTTTTTCTTTCTCACTTCTAATACACTGAGTGTGTGGCAGGAGCTCTTTATTTATTTATTTATTTATTTATTTTGAGACGGAGTTTCGCTCTTGTTACCCAGGCTGGAGTGCAATGGCGCGATCTCGGCTCACCGCAACCTCCGCCTCCTGGGTTCAGGCGATTCTCCTGCCTTAGCCTCCTGAGTAGCTGGGATTACAGGCACGCGCCACCATGCCCGGCTAATTTTTTGTATTTTTAGTAGAGACGGGGTTTCACCATGTTGACCAGGATGGTCTCGATCTCTTGACCTCGTGATCCACCCGCCTCGGCCTCCCAAAGTGCTGGGATTATAGGCGTGAGCCACCGCTCCCGGCCAGGAGCTCTTTATTTAATTGTTACTTCTAGGGAAGCAAAGTGATGACATTGGTTCCTTATTAAAAGGTCTCTCACTATGAAGACATCTTTGCATGATTATATATAATTGCAGATGCTCAAAGAACTATGTTTTTAATATTATTGTAGACCTCCAGGTAGGTGAAAGAACTGACCCTAAAACTTTGAAAGATCTTCGCTTCTCAGAGAGTCCACTGGAAATCCCAGCTTACGGTGAAGGATCAGGTTCTAGACCACCCACCCGTCAGTCCCAGGTAACTTCTGAGGACAATCTTTAGGGTACTCAGATACCTCCTATATTTTTAATGCTTCTTATGAAGTACTTTAAGACTGCCCCTCCCACTCTTTTGACCATCTGCCAGGCACTGTTCAGTGCTGGCAATACTGTGTTGGACAAGAAGAGTCCCTCTATTCATGGAGTTTACATTTTATTGGGCTTGGGGGCAGACAGATAATAAGTAAGTAAATAAACAGAAGATTTTAAATGGTGGTAAGAGTCATGAAGAAGATAAAATGGTAATGAGATAGAGCAGTGGTTCTCAGAGGCAATCCCCAGACCTGTAGCATCAGCATCACGTGGGAACTTATTTGAAATGCACATTCTCAGGCCTAATGAGCAAGGTGGGAGATGAGGCAGGAGGTGGCTGGGGCCAGAGCATCTAGAGCTGTGGTTCTCAAACATGGCTGCATATTAGAATCACCTGAGGAGCTTCAAACCAATCCCAAAGGGTTAGCCTCAGAAATCCTGATTTAATTGGTCTGATGTGGAGTTTGAGCGTCATTTAAAAAATAAAACAAAATCCTAAATGATTCTAATGGTCAGTTATGGTTGGGAGTCACAGATATTAGTCTGACTGTAACAAGTTTGGATTCTATTCTAATTGTAAAGGGAATCTATTTGGTAGGCAAGACATGATCCTATTTACACTTAAAAGTTTTCTGTTTGGCCACAGTATGGAGATTAGACCGTAGAAGAGAAAAGGGAGAACATCATTTAGGAGGCTTTTGTTGCAGGTGAGAAATGATGGTGGCTTGGACCAAGATTGTAGAGGTGGTCAGGATAGGAGGTGGACTTGGCTGAGGGATCATATAGATGGGAGGGAAGAGGAGGAACCAAGGATGCCTCTCAGGGTTTGTCCTGAGCATCTGGAGATGATGGTGCCATTGACAAAGCTGGAAAAGTTGAGAGAGGAGCAGGCATCCAAGGGCACATTAGACATCCGAGTCGAGGTGTTGAGTAGACTGTTGGATGTGCAAGTTCATACTGGGGAGAGGTCAGGGCTGGAGATATGGACTTGGAAATATGGAAATATTCAATATGTTGATGGTATTAGAAGCTTAGGTCTGAATGAGATCACTGGTCAAGGCTGTACAGAAAATGAAGGAAAGGAAAATGAAGAAAGTCCTCAACTTAGAGGAGGAGGAGCCTGAAAGTAGAAAGAAAGTCAAAAGAATATGTTACCATGGAAACCAAGAGATGGAAAAATTTCAAGGAGAAGGTCGTCTATGTCATATGTTACTGAAGGTTCTAATTAGATAAAGACAGACAACTGGAAATTCCCATTGGATTGGATAAGATAGAGGTGACTTATAACCTTAATAAAAGGCATATAGTGCAATCTTACTACTATAACACAGGAAAGATGCTCTTATACTAGTTGCCTACTACTACTGTTACAGTGCTTTGATTTTTCAATGTTTATAAAATCCAATTTGGACTTTTGGCACCTAAGGGCAACCCAGGAGCCCTCGTTTTCTTTCTCCTATTTGAGTCCCAAGTTTAATGTACCTGGAGTCGCATTTTCTGTATAACCACAACTGCTTCTTGTGTGCCCATGATTCCATGGCTGCTCACACTTACCATCAAGTATAAAGGAGGTAAAAAGCATGGTTTCCAAACCCAGCTGCATATCAGAATCACCCAGGGAAAATTTTAAATATGTATCAAGTCCCAGATATGCTCCCTGTAATTCTCCTAGATAGTCTGAGTCCATTAGCCTGGGGTGGAGTCCACAGATGGCTTTGCTGATCAGCCAGACTGAGAATCACTGGCCTTGAAGACCAATTATCCTTATCCCAAGGTCAAGCTCTTTCCTTTACTTCTAGACTCTAATGCCAAGGTGTAACTCAGCCTGACCTCCTAGGCTCTTCCATCTACCCATTCACTATATATTTTGGAGAACCACAAAGCCCAGGCCAGAGGACCCAACCTGGGAAAGACTGCTTGCAAGGCCCACTAAACAAAGGGCAGCCAATCTTCATAGAAGATTGCCTCTCCCAGTCTTCTGGAAAGAATGGTTCTCTGATTATCAAATGGGCTGAAGAGCACACTCAAATCCTGTGGGCAGTGCACACTGACATGACCCAAATACTGCTTCAGAGGTAAAACATATCGCTTTGAAGAATGAATGGTCTATGATAAAACACAGGAGCTATTTTAGAGAAGCAGTCTCATGTGGCCATAGTTATTTGCAATGTGTCTAGAAATATTTTCTTTGTGAATGAATATTTGGATTACCTTGCGCACTTAGTTGTTTGAGCTGTTGATTACAAGTGAAAGATAAAATAAAAATTTAAAGATTCCAAAATTTAGAATCCCCCAAAACTGGGAACAGCAAGACAAAGACCAAGTTTAGGGAATTTGACTAGAGTTCAGAAAGCCAGGAAGGCCGAGAGAAGATCACAAAACTCTTTCCTTCCACTCTTTTTCTTCATAGTGGTAAGAGAGTCTTCTCAGTATTTCAGCTGAATCTCATCTGAAGCATACTTTAGCAGATATCCTCATTAATGACACTGGTGGGTATTACCACATTTCAGCAACCCCAGGGAGACAAAATGTTTCTGAGCTTAGCATCTGGCCTGAGGGAACCTGCAGGGGTCAGGCAGCAGAGTAAATGCATGATGCAGCCGGGGTGGAGGATAAATGACAGCTGACACCTGGCCATACTGCAGGGGCATGAGAGTTGCGGGTTCTCTGACAATGTGAAATACTCCAACCAGTTAAAGGAATCACTCTACCCAGCCCCAGCCAACCATTAGCAAGAAGGACTGAAGGCTCAGTATCGCTACATCCAATGAATTTGCATGAGAAACCAGAAATCTACATCTTTATGTGTAATAACATAATTTAAAGTTTTGACAATTAGTTCAAATCTTGAAACACTATAGAAGCCAATGCCAAATAAAACTTGATGACAGGCCAGATTTGGCTAATAGAGTACCACTTTGAGACTTCTGGTCTAGGTCATGTTACTTTTTAGTTATTTTTCTTTTTGTAGAGGTGGGGATTCACTGTGTTACCCAGACTGTTTTTGAACTGGCCTCAAGCAATTCTCCTGCCTCACCCTCCCAAAGTATTGGGATTACAAACGTGAGCCACTACACCCAGCTGAGGCCATGTTAGATGTGGCACAAAAGCAATGAAAAACCTCTGACTGCTCCCTATTGCCTACAGGATAAAGTCTGAAGTCCTAAGCTGAGCACATAAACATCACAGTAGAGTAGGAGTCTAGGGGGCTCCGGTAGGCTTCAGTTGAGTACATGTACTATTAACGTGAACTTGAGCAAGTGACTCAATCTTTCCGACCCGCAGCATCCTCATCTCAAAAGTGAGGATTATATGAGCCTCTTGATATGCCCTGAGATGGACATAATATCATTTCCCTGGAATTGGTGCCAAAATGAGTGACTGAGGAAATAAATCACGAGGAAACAGCAGACGAAAGCAAACTGAAGGAGATTCTATGAATTAACTGGTCTGTTACTCTTCAAAAATGTCAAGATTGGCTGGAAACTGTGGCTCATGCCTGAAATCCCAGTGCTTTGGGAGACCAAGGTGGGAAGATTGCTTGAGGCCAGGAGTTTGAGACCAGCCCTGGGCAATATAGTGAGACCCTGTCTCAACAAAAAATAAGTTAGCCACGAGTGGTGGCACACACCTGTAGTACTAGCCACCCTGGATACTGAGGTGGGAGGATTGTTTGAGGCCAGGAATTCAAGGTTGCAGTAAGCTATGATTGTGACACTGTACTCCAGTCTGAGTGACAGGGAAAGACTCTGACTCTAAATTTTTTTAAAAGTAAAAATAAAATTATATTTATATAAACTTAAGACAGTAACTATTCTAGATTAGAGGTGATAAAATGACATGGCAACTAAATGCAATTGTGACATAGTACTGGATCAGGAAAAAAGACATAACCGTAAAGGGCATCATTGGCACAACTGATGATGTCTAAAGAAAGATCTGTGAATGAGGTAATATTATAGTACTGTATCACTATTACCTTTTCTGATTTTGATACACTGATACAAGAGGAAAACCTTGTTCTAAAGAAATGCACACTCAATTATTTAGGGCAAAAGGCCAGCATGACTGCAGCTTGTTCTCACATGCTTCAGAGAGAGAAAATCAAGGCAGATGGGGCAAAATGTTAACATAAATAATTGGCTGAGCTGGGAATACAGGAGCTGCTTGCACCATCCTTGCCACTTTTCTGGAAGTCGGAAATTACAGTGTATCAGAATGAAATGTTACACACATAAAATAAGATGCGAATAATATTACCCACCTCCTAGGGTCTTTGGGACATGTCAAGGAGACGATGGCTGTGAAATGCCGGGCACATCTGACCATTATCAGACCCTCTAAGTTTTAGCTTCTCCCCTTCACGTTCCTTCTCCAGCCTTTCTGTCCTGTTCTCCTACCACTCAGGCCTCTAGATAACAGCAAGGCACCCGAGTCTCAGGATAGGCCACTCCCCCGCCACTGTGCTTTTGCCTGTGGATCTCCTCCATTGGGAATTCCCTTTGTCCTTCTGTCCACTTGACACTTTTCTTTACTCTGCCAGGCCCTGAGATGTTACTGCCTCTGAGAAGCCCTTCTCTCCTGATGCAAATGAATGTGATTATTCCTTCCTTTAGATTCCCATGGGAGTCAACACAAAGAAGTTCTCCTGAACACATCGTGTTTCAGTGATTCTGTGTGTCCGAGAGTTCAGCTTTCTACGGGGCAGGGACCATGTAGTATTTATTTTTGACCTTTTCTGTGCACCAAGCACAGTGCCTGATACAAAGTGGATTATATCAAACATGTATTGGAGTTAAATGTTTCTGGATAACTGTAGATGCTTGTTACACATGTTTTTATAGGTGAGTCCTTTGGTTTCCTGGAGATACAATTTTTGAGAAAAATGGATACTAAAGTTTATTTATTTATTTTTCCTTATTTTTTTTGAGACAGGGTCTCACTCTCACTGAGGCTGGAGTGCAGTGATACAGTTCAGTTTACTGCAGCCTCTGCTTCCTGGGTTCAAGAGATTTTCCTGCTTCAGCCTTCTGAGTAGCTGGGATTATAGGCACCTACCACCACAGCAGGCTAAATTTTTTTGTGTTTTTAGTAGCGATGGGGTTTACATTCTAAAATCTGGTCTTTCTGATGGTAAACTCAGGTATCTTTTATTGTAAACTCTAATTTGTAATAATATATACATATATGATTGTGAAGAGCACGTTAAATAATTTATAAATGTTAGATACTAGAGTAATAATTACATTACTCTTCATAATGATTTTTTATTTTTATAGATTAAGGGGGTGCAGGCTTGTTACATGTGTTGTGTAATGGTGAGGTTTGGGCTTCTAGGGTTCCCTTCACCCAAATAGTGAACATTGCACCCAACGGGCAATTTCTCAACCCTCACCTTTGCCCACCCTTTCCACTTTTAGAGTCTACAGTATCTATTATTCCTTTTTGTATGTCTATGTGTATTCACCCATAATGATTTTTAATGGAATTTTACTATACCATAGCCTTTACCATGTTATTTTGACTATGTATTTCTCTATATATACCTATATTCTTACTTTTAGTCCCCCAATTTTGCACACATAAGTGGCCAGAAGTGTTTGACAAGCACGGAGATAATGAGAATTCAAAGGGAGACAGACTTTCTCAAGTAAGTATCACATTCTTTTTACTCTGTCGTAAATCCTACAAAGATACATTGTGGTCAAAGAGAATTTAAAGGTAGGACAATTTTGCCCACCTCCAACTTTTTAAATTAAATGTTTACAGCAATTAAAAAGTGTAATTTTGGGAGGCCGAGGTAGGTGCATTACCCGAGGTTGGGAGTTTGAGACCAGTCTGACCAACATGGAGAAACCCTGTCTCTACTAAAAATACAAAAAGTAGCCAGGCTTGGTGGCACATGCCTGCAATCCCAGCTACTTGGGAGGCTGAGGCAGGAAAATCGCTTGAACCCAGGAGACAAAGGTTACAGTGAGCTGAGATTGCACCATTGCACTCCAGCCTGGGCAACAAGAATGAAACTACATCTCAAAAAAAAAAAAAAAAAAAGTGTAATTGACATACAATAAACTGCATGTGTATGTAAAGTTCATTTGACTCTATTTGTATATACGTAACCGTGACACTATCACAATCAAGAAAATGAGTAAGTTCATCCTTGCCAAAAATTTCCTACATTGTACCCTATTCGGTAATTCCTTCATCTCACCCCTCTTCATCACAGGCAATTATTGATCTGCTTCTTGTCACTGTAGCTTAACTTGCATGTGATTCCATATGACAATGAAGTGATTCAGTGTGTACTATTTTCTCCTGGGTTTCTTTCAATCAGCATAACTATTTTGAGAATCATTCATGCTGTTTCTTGTAACAAACATCTGTTTATTTTTATTGCTCAATAGTCCATTGTATGGATATGCTACAATTTGTTTATTCATTCACTTATTGGTGGGAATTTGTTTTATTTCCAATTTTAAGCTATTACAGATAAAGTTGCTATGAACATTTGTACGAAAGTCATTGTATGTACAAAAGTGAGCCAGTCTCATAACCTGGTCTCTAAACAAATAAATAAATTGATAAAAATTAACCAATATAATAAAATAATTTTTAAAAACCGCAAAGTCATTATATATACACATGTTTTCATTTCCTTTGGGGCAAATACCTTGAAGAGGAATATGATAGGTATATGCTTTTTTAAAGAAACTGCCAAACTCCTTTCCAAAATGATTGTTCCATTTTACATTCTCACCAGCAATATATGAGAATTCCAGTTTCTCTATATCCTTACTAACTTTTATTTTTATTTTGGGCATTCTAATGAGATGGGAACAGTACCTTATTGTGGTTTTTATTTGCATTTCCCTAGTGACTAATGATGCTGAGCCTCTTTTCATGTGCTTATTTCCATCCATGCATCTTCTTTAGTGACGTATCTGTTCAAACTTTTTGCCTTTAAAAAACGCATCATACATCTTCTTCTTATAGAGTTGTTTTCTTTAAGGATAGCTCTTTGCCCTGACATAGAGTTACACACGTCCTCCTTTGTCAGATGTTATATGGGTACATTTTAGCAAATATTTTCTCCCAGTCTTTGGCTTTTCATTTTTTTAACAGTGTTTTCAAAGAGCCAAAGTTTTTTTTTTAAATTTTGATGAAGTCCAATTTATTTGTTTTTCTTTTACATTTTATTTTTAGTTTGTCATTATTCAGAAATCTTTCCCAAACCCAAGATGTATTCCATTCACTAAGATTTCCTCCTTTGTTCTCTTCTAGAAGTTTTTTAGTTTCATCTCTTATACTTAGGTATGTGATCCATTTTTAGTTAATTTTTCATATGGCATAAGATAAGGGCTGGGGTTCATATTTTTACATATGGATATTCCAGTATTCCAGTATAATTTTTTGAAAAAATTATCTTTCCTAACTGATTACTTTTAGAATATTTGAACATTAATTGATGGTATTTGTATAGATCTAATTGTGGACTTTATATTCTTCTCCATCATTGTTTCTCTATATTTTTTTCACTACCACACTGCCTTGATTATTGCAGCTTTTTTGGGGGGGATGAATTCTCGCATTGTTGCCTGGGCTGGAGTGCAGTGGTGCGATCTCAGCTCACTCCTGGGTTCACGTGATTCTCCTGCCTCAGACGCCTGAGTAGCTGTGATTACAGGTGCACATCACCACACCCAGCTAATTTTTTGTATTTTTAGTAGAGGTGGGATTTCACTATGTTGGCCAGACTGGTCTTGAACTCCTGAACTTGTGATCTGCCCACCTCGGCCTCCCAAAGTGCTGCGATTACAGGTGTGAGCCACCATGCCTGGCCAATTATTGCAGCTTTATAATAAATCTTAAAACCAAGTAAATTGTAAATTCCTCAGCTTATTTGCTCCTATCAAAGGTATTTTGGTTATTCTAGGTCTTTTACGTTTTCAAATTTAAATATCAGCTTTTCAGTTTTTACAGAATATCTGCTGTGGTTTTAATTGAGAGTGTATTGAATCTATGTATCAATTTAGGGAATATTCACATATTAACGATATTGAGCTTTATAATGCATAAAAATTCTATATCGCACCGTTTATTTAGATCTTCTTTAATTTCTTTCACTAATATTTGTAGTTTTCAGTTCACAAGCTTTATACATCTTTTGTTCATATTTTTCACTTTTCAGCCCTCATCTTTTCACAAGCTTCATACATCTTTTATCATGTGTATCCTGCCGTAAATGCTTTTAAAATTTCACTTTCTCACAAAAAGACAAATACTGCATGATTCCACGTAAATGAAGTATCTAAAGTAATGAAACTCACAGAAAGTAGAATGGTAGTTGCCAGGGGCTGAGGGGAGGAGGAAACAGGTATAGAGTTATATACATGCAAGGTGAAAAAGTGCCAGAGATCTTTTTATAGCAATGTGTACGTAGTTAGCAATACTGTACTGTACAATTAAAAGTTGTTGAGAAGAATCTATATTATATATTATAACAGATATATTTTTTGCTACAATAAAACATTTCAACTTCTGATTATTCATTTCTAAAATATAAAATACACTTGATTTTTTCTTAGTGGCCTTATATATTGAAGTCTCATGAAATTCATTTATTCTACTAGCTTTTTATGGATTCCATAGGATTATCTACGTAGGACATTGGGTAGCCTGCAAATGAAGAGTTATCTTTTTTCCTTTCCAATATGGATCCCTTTTCTTTTTCTTTTTTTTTTCTTTTTTTTGACTTCTTGCCTTCGCTGTAATTTTGAATATAATAGTTTTGAATGGAAATGGTGAAAGTAGACACCTTTGTCTCATTCTTCTTTAAAATGATTTTTTAAATTTAATTTAATTTTGTTTGATATGGAGTCTCACTCTGTTGCCCAGTCTGGAGTGCAGTAGTGCAATTTTGGCTTGCTGCAACCTCCACCTCCCAGGTTCAAGTGATTTTCCTGCCTCAGCCTTCCAAAATAGCTGGGACTGCAGGTGTGTGCCACCACAACTAGCTAATTTTTTTATTTTATTTTATTTTTTTTCAGTAGAGACGGGGTTTCACCACATTGGCCAGGCTGGTCTCGAACTCTGACCTCAGCTGATCCGCCCACCTTAGTCTACTAAAGTGCTGGGATTATAAGTGTGACCCACCACACCCAGCCAAGCTGAGGAAATTTTGACCTGTCTGTAATTTTCTGAATGTTTTCTTTTTTAAAATCATGAATAGATATTGGATTTCATCCAAAGCATCTTTTCAATTTATTGAGAGGACAATTTTTTTCTATTCATGTGGTGAATTACAGTGATTGGTTTTCAAATGTTAAATCAACCTTACATTCCTGAAATATATCCACTTGAAGTCTTATCTATTTTATATAATGTTGAATTTGATTTGCTAAAAGGTTTTAAAGAATTTTTTTTGTCAGCATTTGCATAAAGGATGTCGGGGGATTTTCTTTTCTTGTTAATGTCTTTGTCTGGTTTTATTATCAGTATAATTCTAGCTTCATAGAATAAGTTGGGAAGTATTCTCTCTCTTTCAACTCTGAGAAAGGTTTATAAAATTGGTATTATTTCTTCCTTACATATTTAGTAGGAATTCCAAAGTGAAATGATTAGATCTGGAGTTTTCCTTCAGGAAGATGTGTTTTTCAGGAAGATTTTAAACTATATATTAAATTTCTTTAATAGATGGAAGTATATTCATATTTATTAATATTTTTTTGAGTAAATTTTACGTTTCATTTGGTCTTTTTTCAGTTTCTTTAATGAGAACACAAAGTTATTGATTTGAAGCCTTTCTTCTTTTCTAGCATAGGCATTTAGAACTGTATATTTCCCCTGAATACTGCTTTACGTGCCATCTCTAAATTTTGATATGTTGTATTTTCATTTTCATTCAGTTCAAACAGTTTCTAATTATCACTGCTATTGTGTGCAGAGGGCAATGGGTTAGTTAGAAGTGTTTTGTTAAATTTCCAAATACTAGAGGATTTTCCTTTATCTTTTGGGCCTTCTTTCCTTCCTTCTTTCCTCTCCACCTTTCTTGTTTCTTTCTTTCTTAAGCAGGGTCTTACTCTGTCACCCAGGCTGAAGGGCAGAGGCCCAATCATAGTTCACTGCAGCCTGAAACTCCTGGGTTCAAGGCATCCTCCTGCCTCAGCCTCCCAAGTAGCTGGGACTATAGGCATGTGCAACTATACCTGGCTAATTAAAAAACATTTTTTCTGGCTGGGCATGGTGACTCATGCCTGTAATCCTGGCACTTTGGGAAACCGAGATGGGAGGATCACTTGAGACCAGGAGTTTGAGACCAGCCTGGCCGACATGGTGAAACCCTGTCTCTGCTAAAAATATACACACAGAAAAAAAATTGGCTGGGCATGGTGGCACATGCCTGTAATCCCAGCTACTTGGGAGGCTGAGGCACAATAATGACTTGAACCCAGGAGGTGGAGGCTGGAGTGAGCCAAGATCATGACACTGTACTCCAGTCTAAGTGACAGAGCAAGACTCTGTCTCAAAACAAAACAAAAAACCTTACTTTTTTTTTTTTGGTAAAGAGAAGGTTCTCACCAAGTTGCCCAGGCTGGTCTTGACCTCCCGGCCTCAAGTGATCCTTCCACTTCAGTCTTCCAAATTGTTGGGATTATAGGTATGAGCCAGTGCACCTGGCTTAGTGTTTATATCAAATTTATTTACTTTTGGTCAGAAAAGATATATGATTTGATTGGTAAATGTTCTATGTGCACTTTAAAAGAATGTGTATTCTGCCAGAGTAAGTGTACTATAAATATTAGTTAGGTTAAGTTAGTTGATGGTATTGTTTAATTCTTCTCTATCTTTACTGATTTCCTCTTTATCATGTAATCAATTATTGAGAGAGTAATATTGAAATCTCTGACTGTAATTGTGAATTTGCCTATTTATTCTTGCATTTCCATTTCTATCAGTTTTTTCTTCATGTACTTTACTCTGTTACTAAGTACATAAACATTTTGGATTCTTTTGTCCTCTTGCTGAGATGACCCTTTTATCATTATGAAATAAACTTCTTTAACTCTGCTGATATTCTTTGCTCAGAAACCTACTTTTTCTGATGTTAATGTTGCAACTCCTGCTTTCTTTAGATGTGTGTGCGTGTGTATACCACCCTTCACTGAATTTATTTATGTCTCTATTTAAAGTTGGTTTCTTTTGAGCAACATGTAGTTAGGTCTTGCTTTTTTTTTTTTTTTTTTTTTTTTTTTTTTTGAGACGGAGTTTCGCTCTTGTTACCCAGGCTGGAGTGCAATGGCGCGGTCTCGGCTCACCTCAACCTCCGCCTCCTGGGTTCAGGCAATTCTCCTGCCTCAGCCTCCTGAGTAGCTGGGAGTACAGGCAAGCGCCACCATGCCCAGCTAATTTTTTGTATTTTTAGTAGAGACGGGGTTTCACCATGTTGATCAGGACGGTCTTGATCTCATGACCTCGTGATCCACCCGCCTCGGCCTCCCAAAGTGCTGGGATTACAGGCTTGAGCCACCGCGCCCGGCAGGTCTTGCTTTTTAAAAAACTGTGTCTGACAATGCCTACGTTCTAATTGGGGTATTTAGAGTATATATAGTGTATTCTTACTGATACCTCAGTAAATATGAATTTTTTCCACTTTGGTGGTGTAAGCATGAGCTTCCCAGCCCTATGTGAATCCTGGATATTGTTTTCTGTGTGCCCCTTTGGGATTTACTTTCTGACCTTGAGTGGTTTCTTCCATCACATGCACTCATCAGGTACCCAGATGAAGACTTGAGGGTGACCCTCTGCAAAACTCTGAGGCTCTCCCTGCAGCTCTTCTCTGGTACTCTTTCCTAAAAGCTCCAGCTACCTTGACCTTCTGAGATTCCCAGCTCTGTGCCCTCAGTTCAAATCAGAGGAATGAGAGAGTCATATTGTACTTCACGAGCTTTGGGCATAGAAAAGAGGAAACTGTTGTTGCCCTGGTAGGTGGGCCCATGCTGGAGATGTGGTGAAACCTTGGTGCCATGGTGCAGTAAAGAAGGACTAAAGACGGCCGGGCGTGGTGGCTCAAGCTTGTAATCCCAGCACTTTGGGAGGCCGAGGCGGGTGGATCACGAGGTCGAGAGATCGAGACCATCCTGGTCAACATGGTGAAACCCCGTCTCTACTAAAAATACAAAAAATTAGCTGGGCATGGTGGCACGTGCCTGTAATCCCAGCTACTCAGGAGGCTGAGGCAGGAGAATTGCCTGATCCCAGGAGGCGGAGGTTGCGGTGAGCCGAGATCGCGCCATTGCACTCCAGCCTGGGTAACAAGAGCGAAACTCCGTCTCAAAAAAAAAAAAAAAAAAAAAAAAAAAAGAAGGACTAAAGAGAATAAGAATATGGGAAGTGAGCTCAACTCCAGTGGGACGTGAGTTCAACTCCAGTCTCCAGTGGAGAGTGGTGTGGGACACCAGGCAATCCAGTGCACAGTATCTAAGCCTCAAAGTTGCCAAGGAGCAGATCAGATAGATAAGTCACAGGATCAGGAGCCCAACTTGTCTGGAAAGGCATGGCAGTAGCAGCGCACATACAGGGCAGCCCAATTCTAAGAATGTTCTTACTTTGGTGGATAGCCAGAACCTATTTAGGTAAATAGGAGCTAAATGATTGGTCTGGCTGCCTAAGAAATGGGGCCAGATGCTGTTGAATTTGATATGGGGCAGGGCCTGAGGACACTAAGCTAAAGTGGGCAAAGAAAAAGAATAGGTTTAATGCACAAGTAAGAACTGTCCCTTAGACTGGGCTCAGTGGCAGGAAATCAGAAAAGCATAATATAAAAATTACTGGAATTCCCAGAGCTTACCCTTATATACATCAAATCCAATGTGACAGGACAGACAGAGCCCAACCAAGAAGTGGGGTCAAGGCTGCTGATGAACTTCTTGCCATGATCAGGAAGTTAAATGGGCTTGGCCTATGTGGAAAGGACACCAGAGCATTCAGCTGTGAGGCCACTTTCTAATAAAATGACCTGGAGAAGTATTTCTAACAAAGTGACCTAGAGAAGTTCAAGATGGAACTTGAACTTGTTCCATAGCCGTCGAGAGTGGTCTGCTTTTATTTTGTGCTTAAAACTGTTTGAACACTTTTGGATTTTTACCAGTCTTCTTAGCATTGACCTACCAGAACATGGCCAACCAGGAACCTGTTTTGTTGTAGGTGTGCCCACTGCCTTGCCCCCCGCCCATCAGATCCGTTTGCTCGCTTCTGTCAAGAATGTGGCTCTCCTGTCCCACCCATATTTGGCTGTCGTCTCCCACCCCCGGAAGGAGCTCAGGTGAGCAGCAGAATTCTTAAAAACGTCTTTCCTTGGTTGATCTGATCTTTATTTGCAGCAGTAACACCGTGCTTGGTACACGTGAACCACACACATAAATACTCGTGGAAGAATTTTTGGCTGGTTGAATTCTTACAGACTCCTACTTAAGCATAAAAAAACTTATTTACAATGCTGTGTCTTTTGTGTGGCCTGCCAGAAGCACAGACTCAAAAAAGATTGGAATCTTACTATTTTAATGAGGCATGCATGGATACGTAAATGTTTTTTACTCATTTGATAACTCTGCTCATATCCTGGGTGTAATAAGGAAATATATTCTAGAAATTAATGAAAAGAAGTACCAATTACTTTATGTCTCTATATATCTATGTATCCTTAAGGTGTATTATTCTGTCCAAAGAATCTATAGATTGATCTGTGTATTTAAATTTAATAGCTTTGGCTGATTAAGGGTAGATAATAATTGATATTATGTCACTACTAATTTTGGAGGTAGTTAAAAAATATATTTGGCTTGCTAAAAATTAAAACCTTTACCAAAATGTGTTCATTTTTTGAGCGCTTGAAATTTTGGGGATTTTTATTACACTGGAAATAAAGCGATAAAAATAAAATAAAGGAATCTGTGATACTGAGTGAAAAATTACCATTTGAAAAAAGATAGTTACTAAGAAAAAGTCACTAATTGAGTGAGTTCGAAGTCCAAGGTTTTGATTTGAGTTATGCCTCAAGCAAGGGCTCAGGCATTAAATGGCTATCTGTTTTAATATTCTTCTAATATATTGCTCAAGATTTTTGTAGAAGTTGATTTAATTTACTTCGGTGATACATTTTGAATTCCTTAAAGATTTTGCTAATATATAATGGCAGAATCTTAGGAAATACGTGTGGGAGTTGATTTTAAATAAAAACAGACTATAACACCAAATTGGGCCAAATTCATTGTGTGCAGCTTGTAGAGATTCTGGACTAAATGTGTTAGTGAAAGAAGACAATACAGAAAACAAAATATGAACAAGTCCCATTGGTTTGATTTTTCTCTGTTTATATTAGTTGGTGCAATACCAAAATTATTTTCTACTTGCCTGGAAAGGGATTTTCACAACTAACTTGGTTTTTACAAGGAGGAAAGGTTATCAGCGATTATAAATATTTAACACGATGAGCTTTAAAACACCTAGATTGCCCCCAATTACATTTCTATTAGTGCAACAATAGGCTTTAATGTATAACACTTTGTAATTTAAGCTCACAACCATTTATCAAGTACTTACTGTGTCCTGCTCTGAGCTGGGCTTCTGGGATTCAAAGGAGCAAGATCCTACTTCTAGACCCAAGACTCTTGGAGAGTCTCAGTAAAGAGATGCAGAGGTGCGTGCCCTCCTCTCTCTTTGCTCTTGTGATGTGAGCTAACCTGTAGGACACCTGGTTGTGCTGAACTCTGTGAAGTGTTGTCTGTGGATGCTTCTCAGTGAGTTCCACTGGCACCCCAGCCAGCTTCCCAGCTAGTCTCTCGGGCATCCCAGTAGCAGCTTTCCAGTTCTGCCTGTTCCCTAGATGAGGAGTTCCTAATAAGTTCCACTGGATCCCAGTGGGCTGCTTTTTCCTTGCCAGCTCTGATATGTGTCACCTCAGTGAACTTCTCTGCCATCCAGTGGGTGACAGCCACACTCAATTCAATGAAGTCTGATTCCAGCCTTAGGTGTGGGGCAAAGTAAGTGCCTCTTCCAACTTTGATCCTCCTTGGGCTCTCTGTCTCAGCCATAGAGGTAGGGGATCCTCCCTGTGTTTGGAATTTCTGTATATTACTCATTAGTAGTTAAGCCCTGGCTACTAGTTAATAATTATTTATATGAACATTTCCTGTTCAAATTACTTGTGGTTTCTATCTCCTGATTGGACTCTGACTGAAACAGAATTGGTACTGGGAATTGGTCCCAGGAAATAAACTTGTGAACAGGGGATTTTGGAAGTGGTTTGGTCTTTTCCTTTGCTTGGGAGCAGTACTGAGCTCCTTGCCAATGGGAAATGGGACACTGTTGATCCATAGCATGAGGGGACATCACAGTTAATCACGCTGACACCTATGGCTAATTGTGATGAAGTGCCAACTGAAGCAAGTGTCTTGAGTGGCCAAGTAGCTGCTGCATTTGACTCTATGACAGTGACAATGACTATGACTACAAAAACTGTGGAGGATGTATTCTTCTGAGTCCTTGGGAGCATTCACAGAAAGAAATCGACAAGCTCAAGACCTTTGAGTCATAGTGCAGGAGCCAGAGATCTCCTATGACAGCTCAAAATAATCTATTGCTTATAGCTTCAGGGTTATATTGATGAAAATCAAACAAAAATTACATTGTGTATGTTGGGAACTTACAATGTCAGTTACATTCACCTGATCACCACATTTCTTATGTGAAAGTTAGGCCAATAATTGGGAAAGAATGTGATCCTGAAACTCAGATCGAGATGGCAGGTGGGACCCAGATGAAACTAACGGTCTTGTATCCTTGTCACTCTGTGCCTCCTGGCCAATGGATGTAATTTGCTCTTATGTCTGAGGATGCCCGTCTGTCTGAGGATACCAGCCTTCATTTGCTTGAACTGTTTGTGATAATCTCACCTGGGCAGATGGCTTGAAAGGGGATGTTTATTCTCCTCACAGGTTGTTGCGGGTGGTTTAGACCCATCACAACCACCTGTCACATTCTAGGAACCCAACCCAGCATGCTGTAGGAGGACAGGTGCATTCTGTAATTCAGGAGGAAATAACTTACACACACAAAGAGGAAGATTTTATTAACATATAGTAGCAGAGTCTTGGGGAATATGTGTGTGACTAGATTCTAAATAGAGACAGTGTAACATGAAACTGGTATAAATTCATATAAGTTACCTCCTTAAAGGACCTATCTCCAAATATAATAACATTGGCAGTTGAGGCTTCAATATAATGAATCCTGGGGGACACAGTTTAGTCCATAACACCCAGCATCATGTGGAGCAGGGAATACAAAGACTTAGGCAAATAGAAAGTTGGAGTGGGTTTGATATGTGCGTCTTGCACCCCTGACTCTTACCTACGTTTCACAAGAAGGCCCAGAAGACACTTCCATCACTAAGATATCAAGGCATACATTAACAAGAGGAGCAGCTACATCCTTAAAAAGTTTGGTGGCTGCTTTCCTTTATAGGCCAGATATGATCATGGGGGATGCTGCTATTTAGATGGGCTCCCTGATCTCATTGGATCTAGTGAGATCCCAGAGTGGAAGAAGTCAAGTGGCAGCCCTTAACTGCCAAAGACAAGGACAGCCATGATGTTTAGTAAGAGGAATCTGATCGTGGGATTCCTAGGAATGATAGATGGGCAGTCTCCTGGTATATTGCTTGGTCTGTATAATTGAAAAATGCTAGGTCATGTAGCTAAAAACTGACTTGAGCCACTGCGTTGGAGCAACCAAGTTTCTCTCACCCAGTTTCTAGAAGTAAGTCAGTTCATCAATTCGGAGTCTCTTGATTGAAGGGGAAGCTGGGTCTCCTTAGGGAAGGACCCTGGAGCTTTGCAAGTACATATCAGAAATCTTCCTTGAATGCTTCCCCAAGGGGATTTGTGGCTTTCTATTGAGTGACTGTGCATTAAGGAAAAAAAATGCCCCAAACTTTGGGGGCATAATCTGATACTGGCTCTAAATTCATGCTAATTCTTGGAGATTGAAAACACAACTGTGGTCCGCCAGTAAAGGTGGGGCTTTAGGTGCTCAGGTGATAGATGGAGTCTTAATCTCAACTCTGACCTGTAGTTGTTGCTTCAGGTATTTTGGGGGTTTGCTGTTATGTCCATGCTGTCGATTGAATCTTTGTGTCTTCCCCAAAATTCCTATGTTGAAATCCTGATCCCCAGGGTGATGGTGTTAGAAGGTTGGGTCTTAGGTCATGATGATGAACCCCTTATGAATGGGATTAGTGCCCTTATAAGAGAGGCCCAGAGGAGCTTGTTTACCCTTCCATTATATGAAGACACAGCTAAAAGGCGCCATCTGTGAAGCAGAGGGCCAAGCCCTCACCAGATACGGAATTTGCTGGCACCCTGATCTTGGATTTCTCAGCCTCCAGAACTCTGAGAAATAAATCTCTGTTGTTTACAAGCCACCCACTTTATGGTATTTTGTTATTGCAGCCTGAACAGACTAGTATGTTCATATACACTTATAATTACTGTATCTTCCTGACTTATTGACCCTTTTATCATCACAAAATGTCTCTCTTTGTTTATGCTAATACTTCTTGTCTTAAAGTCCTTTATTCTCTGATATTTATGTAGCTACTCTAGCTCTTTTATGGTTACTGTTTGCATTGTAAGTCCTTTTCTATGCTTTTACTTTCAATCTATTTGTGTCTTTGAATTTAAGGTGTTTCTAGTAGACAGCATGTAGTTGGGTCTTGTGTTATATCTTTTGCTATTTTTAGTGTGACATTTTAATGCTTCTGTTGATTTTTTTTTTTTACTAGTTTAAAAGTTACCTTAAGCACTAGAGATTACAATATAGACTTAATTTATCACATTCTATTTTATTTAATTTTGCTTTTTAATTTTTGTGAGTATATAATAGGTATATGTATCTATGGGTACATGAGATGTTTTGATGCAGGGATGCAATACATAATAATCATATCATGGAAGATGGGGTGTGTCACAGTCCATTTTAGAATAATTTCACTCAATTCTACGAAAATATAGAAATGTCACTCCTGTCCCCTTTGTCTCTATTTCTTTTCTTTTTTGAGACGGAATCTCCTTGTGTTACCCAGGCTGGAATGAGTGCAGTGGCACAATCTCGGCTCACTGCAACATCTGCCTCCTGGATTCAAGCGATTCTCCTGTCTCAGCCTCCTGAGTAGCTGGGATTACAGGCATGCACCACCACACCCAACTAATTTTTGTATTTTTTGTAGAGACAGGGTTTCACTGTATTGGCCAGGCTGGTTGGTCTTGAATTCCTAACCTCAAGTGATTCCCCCGACCCCCCACCCAGCCTCCCAAAGTGCTGGGATTACAGGTATGAGCCATTGCACCCCGCCCCTTTCTTTCTTTTTCTTAACATTGCTTAAGTATCCTCTTCCTTTCTTTATCTTTCATGTAATTGCCATATATATTGCATCTATATATGTTACAAACTAAAAAATGCAGTGTTATACAATCATGTCATTTAAAGAAGATGAGATAAAATGTCTACGGAGTCATTTATATCTGCCCTCATATTTATTATATCTGATCTTCTCACATCTTCCTGCGAACTCAAGTGATCATCTAGTGTCATTTCCTTTCAGCTTGAAGAACTTCCTCCAGTATTTCTTGTGAGATATGTCTGCTAGCCATTTCTCTGTGTCTTTGTGTATGTCAGAATATTGATTTTGCCTTCATTTTTGAGGGTTGGTTTGCTGCAGATGTAATTCTGGTTTAGCAATTATTTTCTCTTTCAGTCTTTTGAATTTTCATTCTACTGCCTTCTGCCCCCCCCCATTGTTTTTGATGCATAAGTAGTTTTTTCTCTTGCTACTTTCAATATTTTCTCTTTGTCTTTGACCTTCAGCAGTCTGATTATAATGTGTTTAAATGTGGTCTCTTTGTGTTTGTCTTTCTTGGGATTGATTGAGCTTATTGCATCTGCTGAGTTTTGGTTTTCCCCCAATGTGGGAGATATTGGCCATGTTTCTTTAATTCTTTTTCTGTTCCTTTTTCTCTCTCCTTTGCACATATGTTGCTGTGCTTGATTTTGCCCCATAGGTTTTTTGATGTTCTGCTTATTTTCTTCAGTCTTTTTTCTCTCTGTTCTTCAGATTAGATAATTTGTGTTGTTGGGCTATATGTTCAAGTTCACCGATTCTTTCATCTGATATCTGATCTGATGTTGAGTCCCTCTGGCAATTAAAAAAATTTACTTTACTTTTCAACTCCAGGCTTTGATTTAATTCTTTTTAAAAAAAATACTTTCTGTCTCTCTATTGAGGTTCCCTATCAATCAGATCATTATCATCATACTTTAATTTTTATCAAAGATGGTTTCCTTTGCTTCTTTGAACATTAAAAAAAATAACTGCTTTGAAATCTCTGTCTACTAAATCCAGCATCTAAAGGCACTCACATAATTTCTGTGGACTCTTGACTATTTTTTCCTTGAGTGTAGGCCACTTTAATTTTTGCATGTCTCATAATTTTTTTCTTGACTACTTCAGGTAGCATATTCTGGCAACTTTGGATTCTGACTTTTTTCCCTGAAGGTTGTTGATTTGTGTTTGGTTTACTTGGATTAAATCTTTAATGTCTGTCTCCCCTGCAATGTGTGACCACTAGTGTCAGGCTTTTTATTTTTTAATTTTTTTCTTAATTAGAGAAGTAAAGAAACAAAAGAATGACTACTCCACAGACAGAACAGCAGCTTTTTAAAACAATTATACTTTAAGTTCTGGGATACATGTGTAGAACATGCAGATTTGTTACATAGGTGTATGCGTGCCACGGTGGTTTGGTGCACCCATCAACCATCATCTAGGTTTTAAGCCCCGCATGCATTAGGTATTTTTCCTAATGCCTTCCCTCCGCTTGTGCCCCGCTTCCTGACAGGCCCTGGTATGTGATGTTCCCCTCCCTGTGCCCGTGTGTTCTCATTGTTCAACTCCCACTTATGAGTGAGAAAATGAGGTGTTTGGTGTTTGGTTTTCTGTTCCAGTTTGTTGAGAATGATGGCTTCCAGCTTCATCCATGTCTCTGCAAAGGACATGAACTTATTATTTTAATGGCTGCAGAGTATTCCATGGTGTATACATACACATTTTCTTTATCCAGTCTATCATTGATGGGCATTTGGGTTGGTTCTAAGACCACTATAGTAAATAGTAGAGCACCAGCTTTTTCTTGCTCTTATATTTAAGCCTCATGTTACTTTTGGGTTAGCATATCTTAGTGTTCAGTTAGCCAGAGATTGTGCTCAGGTAGCTCCATCCAGGAAGGCCTCCACTCCCTGCTGATGGATCTGTATGTCAGCTGGGTAGTTTTCAAACTTAAGGCTATTTTCGAGCCCCAGCTTTTTCTTTATGCTGAGCTCTCTTGCATCTCTATGTGCAGTTCCTGGGAAGCCCAGACAACAATCACACAGGGCATAGTGCTCTTTTCTGCAGCTCAGTCATTTTCAGGAAATTCTCAATCTGTTATCTGCCTGTTGATGATTCAGGGTGCTGAAGTAGTTTCTTTTGGACAGCATTATCTGACTGCCTCAGCCTCCCGAGTAGCTGGGACTACAGCATGCACTGCCACACCTGGCTAATTTTGTATTTTTAGTAGAGACGGAGTTTCATCATCTTGGCCAGACTGGTCTCAGGGTTTCATTATCTTGGCCAGTGCTGTGTGGGTGGCTTGGGCCTACTCTTGGTTTATACCGCTCCTGTGCATACCTCCAGTCAACTAAGGATATATGGAGAGCTATGAAGCCCCTATCATTGAATTACCTCCTGGAACTGCATGTTAAATCCCAGGCCAGTTTGCCAGTCAGTGCATCAATTAACCTCGAACAGGCTCATTATCTCAGACTGGGGGACTACTGGTCTTCCTTGTTTGCCTGCCACCAAAATTGTCACCTTAACAGTACTCCAAATCAAGTGAGCCGTGCCCATCAGAGTCACAAAACTTCCAATTTTCACAGCCTGCCCTGCCCGGGTGGAATCACCACACTGACAAAGCTAGGGGAGGAGGGAGCAGCCCACACAACCACACAGAGCTTAGTGTTCTTTTCTGCAGTTCAGTCATTTTCAGGAACTTCTCAATTTGTTGTCTGCCTTTTGATGACTTTCAGGTTGCCGAAGTGCTTGCTTTTTGACAGCATTGTCTGACTGTGTGATTATTATTATTATTATTGTTTTTTGAGACAGAGTCTTGGTCTTGTCACCCAGACTGGAATGCAGTGATGTGATCTCCACTCAATGCAACCTGCAGCTCCTGGCTTCAAGCAATTCTCTCACTTCAGCCTCCCAGGTAGCTGGGATTACAGGCACCTGCCACCATGCCTGGCTACTTTTTGTATTTTTAATAGAGCCTGGATTTCGCCATGTTGGCCAGGCTGGTCTCGAACTTCTGACCTCAGGTGATCCGCCCACCTTGGCCTCCCAAACTGCTGGGATTACAGACGTGAGCCACCGCGCCAGGTCTGAGATTCCTTCTAGGAAAGAGGATTTATAGACCTCCTCATTCTATCATGCTATAAATTAATTTCCTATGGATATTTTTCTTTTTTTAACATCTCTCTTCTCTATAATGAACATGTTTTTACTCTTAATAGGAATAAAATAATAAGAAATGTAATATTGCTATTTTATTTTCTATTATTTACTTATTTTATTTTATTTTATTTTATTTTTGAGACGGAGTTTCGCTCGTTACCCAGGCTGGAGTGCAATGGCGCGATCTCGGCTCACCGCAACCTCCGCCTCCTGGGTTCAGGCAATTCTCCTGCCTCAGCCTCCTGAGTAGCTGGGATTACAGGCACGTGCCACCATGCCCAGCTAATTTTTTTGTATTTTTAGTAGAGACGGGGTTCCACCATGATGACCAGGATGGTCTCGATCTCTGGACCTCATGATCCACCCACCTCGGCCTCCCAAAGTGCTGGGATTACAGGCTTGAGCCACCACGCCTGTTCCTATTATTTACTTTTTAATTGACATAACAATTGTACATATTTATGGGATATGTGGTATTATTTGATACAATGTGCAGTGGTCAAGTCAGAGTAATTAGCATATCTTTATAAAGGTAATTATTTTAAAAATTGTTTTACAAAAACAAATCAAACCTTACATTCTCCCATCCAAGTACTAACCAAGCCCGACTTGCCTAGCTTTTGAGATCAGATGTGATCCGGAGTGTTCAGGGTGGTATACCTGTAGACCAAACCTTATATTCTAACATCTATTCATGCCTTCAGTTTTTACATGCAAGATAAACTGGACTTTTTCCATGTGCAGATGGGCTTATGTGCAGAATGCAGAAACTTGGTACCCATGAACACTCCTATCTGCGTGGTGTGTGAGGCCCCTCTTGCCCTACAGCTGCAGCCACAGGCAAGCCTCCATTTGAAGGTAACAAAATGAGATTCTGTAAAAACATGAATGAAATACATAGAAAGCAATGTTTGAACAGGTATATGTCCTTTTACAGCTGGTGGGATGGGGTAATAATTTTTTTTTTTTTTTTTTTGAGACAGAGTTTTGCTCCATCACCCAGGCTGGAGTGCAGTGGCATGATCTCAGCTCACTGCAACCTCTCCCTCCTGGATTCAAGTGATTCTCCTGCCTCAACCTCCCAAGTAACTGGGACTACAGGCATGCACCACCATGCCTGGCTAAGTTTTGTATTTTTAGTAGAAAGAGGGGTTTCATCATTTTGGCCAGGCTGGTCTCAAACTCCTGACCTCAGGTGATCTGCCTGCCTCAGCCTCCCAAAGTGCTGGATTACAGGTGTGAGCCACCACGCCCAGCCAGGATGGGGTAACAATTGATAAGCTAATATACAAGAACAAAATCCATTCTCATTTTTGATAAGACATACTGTCCAAGAGTTTAACTTGCCAATAGGATCCATAATATTAAAAGAGATGGCTGGGGCGGTGGCTCATGCCTGTGATCCCAGCACTTTAGGAGGCTGAGGTAGGTGGATCACCTTGAGGTCAGGAGTTCGAGACCAGTCTGGCCAACAAGGTGAAACCCTGTCTCTACTAAAAAATACGAAAGAAATTAGCCGGGCTTGGTGGCATGCACCTGTAATCTCAGCTACTCTGGAGGCTGAGGCGGGAGAATCACTTGAACCCTGGTGGCGGAGGTTGCAGTGAGCTGAGATCATGCCACTGCACTCCAGCCTGGGCAACAGAGACTTCCTCTCAAAAAAAAAAAAATTAAGAGAGATATGTAGGATTGTATTCCATGAACATGGATTTGGAGGACGAATTGCACTAGAGCTAACATAGACAATGTTTTACTTCATATATTTAAACTTCAACATTGCAATTAGTATTGATTTATAATCTTGTCCTTAAAGTGGTTTCATACTTTTGTTTGCTTTATTTGATTATAGGTTCTTATTATGGAGAAAAAGAATGACTAGAACTAGTCACGTGGAAGAAAAAGTTATGTATCATCACTTACATCCAAAAAACTTTGCTAGAAAAATGATATGATACTGTGAAAAATTTGTTGATAGAATCATTAAACATACAACTAAATCTTTTCTCCATTCTTCAGTTACAGTCCCATTTACGTCCTCTTTAATCCCAAGTAAAGGTCGCTAGAGGATAAAATAGATTTAATAGGCCGGGCACGGTGGCTCAAGCCTGTAATCCCAGCACTTTGGGAGGCCGAGGTGGGTGGATCACGAGGTCAAGAGATCGAGGCCATCCTGGTCAACATTGGTAAAACCCCGTCTCTACTAAAAATACAAAAAATTAGCTGGGCATGGTGGCGTGTGCCTGTAATCCCAGCTACTCAGGAGGCTGAGGCAGGAGAATTGCCTGAACCCAGGAGGCGGAGGTTGTGGTGAGCTGAGATCGCGCTATTGCACTCCAGCCTGAGTAACGAGCGAAACTCCATCTAAAAAAAAAAAGAAAAGAAAGATAGATTTAATAGAGGGAATTTGAGGGATAAAAAAATCAAGAATTTTTAGCAGTAAGGGAAATGCATGGTCTTAATATACGGGCCATAACACTTCTAAGATGGTCTTGTGGGTTGTATATGGGCAAATTGTGTTCAGAGAAAAGAGAAGTCCACTTGTCCTTCCACCTTCAAGCTCTCTTTAGCACTGAGAGTTCACAAGTGTCCAAGGCTGTGTGAGCCTTCAGAAATGAGATTTTGAAAAACTGGCCAGGCCCAAAGTCAGGTAGGGGAAAATTTACTGATCTTTTTGTTTGATGACTATTTTCAATCCTAAAATGCTTTAAAAGCTACTGCAGAAGCCAGGCTCAGTGGCTTACACCTGTAATCCCAGCACTTTGGGAGGCGGAGGTGGGTGGATCACCTGAGGGCAGGAGTTCAAGACCAGCCTGACCAACATGGAGAAACCCTGTCTCTACTAAAAATACAAAATTAGCTGGGCGTGGTGATGCATACCTATAATCCCAGCTACTCAGGAGGCTGACGTAGGAGAATTGCTTGAACCAGGGAGGGAGAGGTTGTGGTGAGCCAAGATTGCGCCATTTCTAGCCTGGGCAGCAAGAGCAAAACTCTGTCTCAAACAAAGAAACAAACAAACAAGCAAAACTACTGCAGGAAGCCACCATACAGTCCCGGAAGTCTGCCTTTAGACTTCTTACATATGGGAAAGAGAAATCTATTTTTCTCTTATTTAAGCCTCTGTTATTTTAGGTGTTCTGTCAATCACAGCAGAATTTATTCTTATTAATACATTTATTCAGGATGTTTGAAGATAATATCATTGCAAACTCTTTGGACTATTCAAAACAGAAAGAATAGGGATAAATGTTAGTTGTGATTTAAATTCAATATATGTAACAGCATCTTCAGTATCTGAAATCTAGAATTTTTTCCATTTTATGGGAAGGCAGAGAGACACAAAGGTACATGTAAGTAATTTTCCCTTCAATTTATTGTAAATCCTATATTGAGAATAAACACAAGACTTCTACAGTGATAAGTAGCATTAAATCCAGGAGTGGCTTCTTTCTTGCGGGTACTTTTTATAAGAGAGATTTTTATAACTTATGATAAGTAATAATAGGAATAATTTTACAACTTACTTCTATGTTATTGGTGGGCCAAAGTTAGGACATATAATGAGGAAACAACAATGAATTCAAAGATGAGATTCAGAAAACGTGCCTCAAAACTTTGCAAGGAGTTTGGTTTTGCTGGGCTGTAACAATCCTGGGGTGCTGTGGGTTGTGGGAGATGATCTCTTTTCTACCAGACTTAGTAGCTCAGATTTTTTCCTGTGGGCCCTGAAGGTTGAAAGCGAGGACAGGTTTTAACCAGACTTGATTTGTAGAGGGACTTTTATCATCATAACCTCTGATCCTGGAGAGAAATGCATGACTTTTCATGCCAGACAATCTCTATTACTGCTTCTACTCACAGAAGGACATCCGTTTGGAAACCCTGGCCTGCCAATCTTCATTCCAGTGCCTCTCCCAGATGTCATAACGGTGACAGGTTTTGAGTTGACATTCTTACCTAGACAGCCAGCTCTGAGGTTGGTGGGAATACTCGTGTGAACTGCTCAGGGAAGCCAACAAGCCTAACCTCCCGGCAGGCGACAGCATGCCATTGACAGCTCCCTTCCCCTTTCAGCACTGGTCTCTCGCTCATTCCACTGAGTACAAAAGCACCATCTGCTGTCTTCCTTCTGTGATGAAGACAGATTCCACGGCGGTTGCAGTCTTGTCTTGTGTGGATTTAAGGCACTATCAATGCTGAGGAATTTTGCTCTATCAGATTTTTTTTCCTGCCAGGATTAAAAGATACAGTAGCAGAAATTTCTGTATTTGACCTATGACAAAGATACCTATTTTCAGCATAAGAGAAGATTTTATAATTTACTTCTTTAAAATAATTAATACCTAATTTTTGGTAACAAATAATCCAAAGATATACTAAAAAGTGTAGAATTTCTTCACTCTACCTCCATTTCTATTTCTCTGAAATAACCAATGTTAGCAGCTTAGGGTGTCCTTTTATGTATTTTTCTAGATTCACGGAAATATATTTATATATATTCATACATTTAGATTTGGTTTGCTTTGGTTTTTTAAACAAAAATGAAATCATGTTGTATACTTTTCCTCATAACTTATTTATTTCACTTAACAAATACATCTATTGGCCATTTTCTGTTTTTTTTTTTTTTTTTTTTTTTTTTTTTTTTTGAGGCAAAGTCTCACTCTGCCACCTAGGCTGGAGTGCAGTGGCATAGTCATGGCTTGCCACACCTGACCTCCTGGGCTCAAGTGATTGGGATCCCTCCCAAGTAGTTGGGATCACAGGCATGTGCTACCAAGCCAGGTGAATTTTTCTATTTTTTGTAGAGATGGGGTTTCACCTTGTTGCTGAGGCTGGTCTGGAACTCCTAGGCTCACGTGATCCTCCCACCTTGGCCTCCCAAAGTTCTGGAATTACAGGCATGAGCCACACCTAGCCTCCACTGGCCGTTTTCTAAAGTTGAAAACTAGTTTTACCTGTTCACCAGAAAACATTAACTGAAGACGTTTACCAAGAGGAACTACTACAGTTTCCTTTGGAATTTTTCGAGCCACATGCAGTATACCTCCAGGACTTCAGTCATCTTTGTGGTTCTTAGAATCTGTGAGGCTTAGGTCTGGGATCCTCCTGAAAACATCTGATGATTCACATGCCTGAGGCACGGGCTCCTTCAGTGAGTCCCAGCCTCTCACACAGTGATTTGGGGTTAAAACCAGTATAACCACAACTCCACATCAAGCACAATTTTAGCTTAGTCAGTTTTGACATTAAGTTTGCAATGATCTACTAGTTTGTTTTTAATATTCTTCCTTTTTAATTGTGTCAATTAAAGCTTTTCACTTGGAAGTTTGAAAATTGTTCTCTTCCTCCAGCTACTTTAAAAGGGAATGTTATATCCCAGTGACTAACTGGCTCTGTTAAATAGCTTACAACCATTCAGCTAGACAGTATGTGACAAAAGCTGTGGATGAAATGGCAAATGAGGATATTGACTTTTGAAAAGTTCTCATCAGAGGTTAAACACCCATTAACGCCATCTGAAGGTGGCCTCAATTCCACATCACCCCCACAGACATCTGTGACTTTGTGAGTGTAGTGGATTGTGATATAAAATGATTTCTAACTGTGGGTCATGGTCACTGCCCTAGAAAGAAGTGAGCCATGACATGGTGTCAAAAGTCTCTACAAAAAATATAGAAAAACCCGTCAACCAAGAAAACTGTTTAATAGACTGGATGCAGTAAGGTAGACCACCACTTAGACGAGTTTGTAGTAGTATCTCAGAAGAAGGAAGGCAGGAAAAGGGTTTAAAGCGTTAATGCTGGACTGTAATATAAACAATGGGCCGTGGGTGATAATGATGTGTGAGTGTATGTTCATTGATGGTGACAAATGTACCCCTTGGGTGTGAGATGTCCATGTTGGGGGGGCTGTGTCTGTGGGGTGGGACACAGTGTATGGGAATCTTCCGTAATTTCCACTCAATCTTGCTGTGAACATTAAATTGCTCTAAAAATAAAGTTAAAATTTGATTAATTAAAATTTTAAAAACAAAAGGTTTTGTAAGGCAAGGCAGGGGCTGGGCAGAGTATGCATTGGGCAAATATATGAGATGCAGTTTTGGATTATGAGCCCTGCAAGGTGAGGTCTTAAAGGAAGCTGCTGGACTTGAGAAGTAAGCAGTTTTAGTTGTTCTCCAGTTTTCTCTTCTAGAGAAAGTGTTTTCTGCAGCACACAGCAAGATTACTTTTATTTGATCTCAGTAATTTTTAACATGGAGACAGGAAATTTGTCTCATTTCTCAGTGTGTTTCACCAGATCTTTTCTGAGGCAACATCTTCAGGAAAGTCATAGCCCTAAATCTCATGGATAAACGCTGGCCAGTTGCAGATTACGTTGTGGTAACTTTAAATAGCTTTGAAGAATGTTGGCCCCAGGGAATGTCAGGAACCTTTGATAGCAAGACTGTGATTCTCTGCCATTTTGAATAGCAGTTAGTTGGCCTCTGTGCTTTAGGAGTTGTTTAGATTGGGAACTGTGGTTTCCTGAGTTGGCTCAGTTCCTAGGAAAACTTTGGAATCTTCCACTAAAATAGAGTTAACCAGGCTTTGAAAGGCTAGGACTTCATAGAGCTACCTGGTGGCATTGGAAATAAAACCCTGGGAGTTGGGCTTTCTTTTTCTTGATCATCCACTTTACCTGTACCAGTTTCTGAACACACTGTTTGATTTATTAGTCAGGACACCTAGGGACCACAGGGCTGGACTAGAAAGGAACACTTGAGCACCACTGGTCATTGACAATTGAAAAAGATTGGATCCTGAGAGAATAGAGTGGTCAGTAACTAAATAGTTGTTAGCAAACCTTTGATAGCTGAACGCTAGACTATTTTTACCATCATTTCTTTTGTCTTTTGTTTTTCTCTGTGTTGTGACTTAACCCCAGGGTCCTGACTTAGAAAGTTGTACTTAAGACTCTCTTTCTTAGGCAGTCTTTCCACTTCTTCCATTCCTAAGTAAAAACTACAGAGCAAACCTAAATTCGTACTTAACGTGAAGCCCCAGAAGGTAAATCCCAGTTCAAGAACCAGATTACTTGTAAACACACAGATAATCCCTTGCTGGCCTAGGGTCTTTCTGTTTACTACTTAAGCCATGAAATGGAGTGTCTACTCAGTGTCATGGTTTTCACACTGGAGGAACACACACACACACACGCACACACGCACACACACACACACACAACCTTGCACATAACCAGTGCAGAATTTCCAACTTGCCTTCTGAAGACCAAATGAATACTCTTTTCAATGTGTTTGTTTGTTTCTTTGGGGTTTTGTTTATTTTAAAACTACATTCAGGCTGGGTATGGGATCTCATACCTATGATTCCAGTACTTTAGGAAGCTGAAGTAGGACGATCACTTGAGGCCAGGAGTTGGAGACCAGGCTGGGCAACACAGTCAAATCCCATCTCTACAAAAACAAATGAAACAAACAAACAAACAAAAAACTACAGATATTTGTCTGACACTATTTATAGTAACTCCTAAACCAATCCAATATTCAGGGTCTGGATGCGATAAGGGTCTGTAGCTGAATGACTGACAGAAGAGACTGCTTGATGATTTCTTTGCACAGTTGTTTGCTCAGAGGAACATGTATTTCTCATTTTTTGTTGTTAAGGAGAAGGTAATTTGCCGGGCCTGTGGTACAGGAAATCCTGCTCACCTGAGATACTGTGTCACCTGTGAGGGGGCCCTGCCTTCATCACAAGAGGTAGGTTGATGGCATGTGCCAACCCTATATTTAGTGGCTACTAAATTCAGTGTTAATGATAATAGAGAAACAGAATCTGCCCAGGGGATTGGGGAGAGAGACCAAGACAAGTTTCTCATGGTAAACTGAAAGCAAGATTTCTATATGTGGAGAGAACTTTATATATTCATCAATACAGAATTGTTTGCTAAGTTTTAACTTCAAGAAGATTCAGTAAAATCAGTGATTTCTTATGATTTTGTTTAATAACTTTGCATGGGAGGCTGGCATTAGCCTGCGGGAAGTGAACTCATTCACATTTCATTTATAGACAGGTATGTCTTTGTCATCCCCCACCCCCGCCACACCCCGTGGTCCACTGTCTTCACTGACTCTATATGCACACTGCTTTTTGAAATTGAGAACATTGTATTTCTTGGGTTTCCTACAATCCTGTTTTGAATATTGAAATGAAGGAATAGGAGTATAGGCACTTTAAATACAGTGAATAAGTTCAGTTTAGATGATCTGTTTTATGTTTATAAAATGTTTCTGATGAAAATTAAAATTAGTTCCAGGTGACTCTTGTCTTGTACCATGAAAAAGTTGTCATTTACTAGCCAACTTAGAAGAAAAAACTTGCTTCTTTTGGGTTACTATGTATGTTTTTGACTGTTAGTGGCGTTTGTTCTCATCTCAGAGAGATTCCTCGTGAAACTGGACAGTGCAGTTAGTATGGTCTACAGCAGCGGTCCCCAACCTTTTTGGCACCAGGGACCGGTTTTGTAGAAGACAATTTTTTCATGGACCTGGTAGGGGAATGGATTCAGGATGAAACTGTTCCTCCTCAAATCATCAGTCATAAGTTAGATTCTCATAAGGAATGCACAACCTGGATCCCTCATGCACAGTTCTCAATAGGGTTTGCGCTCCCTTGGGAATTGGATGCTGCCGCTGATCTGACAGGTGGTGGAGCACTCACCTCCTGCCATGTGGCCGGGTTCCTAACGAGCCACAGATCCGTACACGTCCATGGCCCCGGGGGTCAGGGACCCCTAGTCTACATGATTAGTATCAAATGGATGTGGACTCGGTTTTTTCCTAAGCACCATCAACTAGGTGGCTAACGACAACAGAAATCTATTGTCTGACATCTCTGGGACTAGAAGTCTAAAATCAAGGTGTTAGCAGGGCCACGCTCCCTCTGAAGGTGCTCGGGAATGAACTCTTCCATCCTCTCTCCCAGCTTCTGGTAGCCTCAAGCTTCCCTTGGCTTCTAGATGCAGCACTCCAGTCTCTGCCTTTGCCATCCCAGGGAGCTCTCCCAGTGTGGGTCTGCCTGTGTGTGTGTGTGCCTCTGTGTTCAGATTTCCCTTTTTCATAAGGACACACCAGTCACACTGTATTCGGATCCATCCTAATGACCACATTTTAATTTGATTACTTCTATACAGACCATTTTCCAAATAAGATCCCATTCTGGGGTACTGGAGGTTAGGACTTCAACATGTCATCATCTGCGCAGACAGAATTCAACCCATCACAGTTGAGTTGGACAAGATACTTTTTAACGTCGTCTAATCACTGACAGTCTAAGAGTAGTTGATTTGAAGGAATTCATCTTGTTTCCAGTTTTATTGAGACATACTTCATATGCAATAAAATTCACCTACTTTAATTGTGCAGTTTGGTGAATGTTGGTGATTTTCAGCCATTTTCACCACCACCACAATGAAGATATTCTCAAAGAGTATTTTTGATGGATATATATAATTCTAGGCTGACAGTTAATTTTCTTTCTGAAATTTAAAGCTGTACCACACTTTTCTGGCCTCCATGCTTTCGCTCAAAAGTCAGATGTAAATCAAATCGACATTTTCATATATGGGATGTGTCATTTTTCTCTTGCTGCTTTTATTAAGATTTGCTCTTTAGTGATGGTTTTTAGCAATTTGGCTATAATATACCTTAGTGTGAAGTTATTCTGGTTGGTGTTCATTTGGAATCTTGTAGCTGTAAATTTCTGTCTTTCATCAGACTTGGGAATTGTTTGGCCATGATTTCTTTATTTTTCTACTCCACTCATTTTCTACTGTCCATCTCAAGTCCATATACACATCTGTTGAATTGTTTCATATTATCTAATAGGTCCCTGAGGACCTTTCTTTCTTTTTTTTTTTTTTTAAGATGGAGTCTTGCTCTGTCACCCAGACTGGAGTACAGTGGTGCAATCTCAGCTCACTGCAACCTCCACCTCCTGGGTTCAAGTGATTCTCCTGCCTCAGCCTCCCGAGTAGCTGGAATTACAGGTGTATACTACCAAGCCTGGCTAATTTTTGTATTGTCAGTAGAAACGAGGTTTCACCATGTTGTCCAGGCTGATCTCGAATTCCTGACCTCAGTTAAGCTGCCCACCTTGGCCTCTCAAAGTGCTGGGATTACAGGCATGAACCACTGCACTGGGCCTGTTCATTTTTTAAAAATCTTTTTTTCTTTCCACACTGTATGATTTCTGTTGATCTATCTTCCGGTTCACTTACACTTTCCTTTACCATATCCTTTTAGATATTAAGTGCATCTAGTAAATATTTTATTTAAAACATTATCTTTTTCTATTCCAGAATTCTCACTTGTTTCTGGTTTTTATGTTTCTATTTCTTTGTTGAGATTTCCTCTTTTTATTTATTGTGGACAGTAGATATGCTTTAAATTTCTGGTTTGCTTCTTCTAACATCTGATTCATCTTAGGGTCAAACTCAGTTGCTTTTCTTTTTATGTGTGAAGCAATAGTTCTAGTTCCTTCCGGGCAGCACATTCCCCAAAAGGAAGCATATTATTGCCTGTTAAAGCAAAACAAACGAAAAACAGGAAAACTCCCAGAGTAACAGAATCCCGAAAGTACCACAGCCAGACATTCATAATGCCAGGATACAGTTGAAAATTCCTCAACATACTACATACCAAGAAAAAAGTTTGAGGGGAGGAGGGATAGAAAGTTTGGTCTCCATTCAGATATTTCGTCTTTGGCTTAGCTGTTTCAAGCCCATTCTGTACATATGTTGTTCACGGGTTGGTAAGAGATCTGAATACACAGAGAAGATCCCTTCTTCGCTTTCTTTCTAGGAGCTCCCTACCTCTTCAGCAGCCAAATATCCCCCAGCTTCAGTTTTCTGGTTCTCTCAGCCAGAAACACTGCCTTGTGTTCCCCGACTTCACAGGCGCTATGTAGACTGCCCTTAGCTCCAGGGTGAAAGCCGTGAAGATGAGAACTGACTTTGTGTAACTCCCTTCCTTCTCGTGTGTTCTTGCTGCAAGTGTACCTGCTTCTGTTCATTCTCCACTGCCTTCATGTATTATCAGCAGATTTTTTTTTTTTTTTTTTTTAAATAGAGTCATGCTCTATCGCCCCGGCTGGAGTGTAATGGCGTGATCTTGGTTCACTGCAACCTACACCACCTGGGTTCAAGAGATTCTCGTGCCTCAGCCTCCCAAGTGGCTGGGATTACAGGCGTTCACCACCACACCTGGCTAATGTTTGTGTTTTTAGAGACAGGGTTTCACCATGTTGACCAGGCTAGTCTCGACCTCTTGACCTCCAGGGATCCTGGCCTATTGTCAGCAGATTTTATAGTTCTTTTCTATGTAGGAGTCATTTGTTATGGTCTTAGGTTATCATTGCCAGAAGGAAAAATCTGTAGTATCTTTTTTTAAAAAGATGATTTCTGTTGCATACGATGTGTTTCATAACTGAGACTAAAACTAATAAGGTGGTGAATTTAATCAGAAAACACATCTATTTTCAAATCAAAGCTGATGTAATTTTAGGGTTGTCTGTTGTTGAGAGTCATCTGTTAATGTGGTTTCAGACTTGATATTACTCTCTAATCATAAAATGACACTATAATTTTTTCCAAGGCACCAGAGAGAATAACAGTGAGATAGGGAAAGTGTAAAACTAGAAAACAATAGAACTAGAAATCTTGGTATATTCTTACCGATAGATTTAAGTAAATTGCCAGCAAAAGACTTTCTCATTCTTTCCTCAGGCATTCAGTACTTCTTATGTAAATAATAAAACCATTTAAATCGATTTTGTTAACTGTCAGTGATATAACTGTTTCTAGGTCTCATCTATCAACAAAACTATTTTCAGAATAATCCCCAAATTGAATTCTTTCTAAAAGTTGTATTTCTATCTGAATGGTATATCAGAGCTTAGATGTCACAAGGATAGTATTTATCTCTGTGGTCCATAGAAGTAACAATGCATGTTCATTCTGATAGCTTTATGTCTTTTTCTTTGTTTAGCAGCATTAATATGATGGGGTAAGATAACTTTTCTTTCTTTTCTCTTTTCTTTTTTTTGTTTGTTTTTTGATCAGTAAGACTATCAGAAAGATAACTTTTCTTTCTTTAAAGCAATGTTACATTTAAAAGCTACTTAAACAGTCCGTATATTTCAATGAAAAGTCTGAAGGCTTTGTGTTTAGAAGCCCAGGCCAGCAAGCTTTATACCAAAGTCTTGTTTTAAGAATAGGAAAATTGACATGTAAGTTCTGAAGCAAAAGTTTGCAGAGAATTTATCTTTGATTTACCTGAAGGACTTTCCCTCTAATTACACAGAAATAGGGCAAGCACACACAAAGAAACCCTCTGTTCTCAGGTGTCTGTGGATGCTGGAGGCTGATGTGGCCTGTCTTAGATAAGTTTCTATTCTAGATAACAGAGCCGGCCCTAAAGCAAAACGGGATACAGCTGGGCAAAGAGAGTGAACTAAAATGTGTGTCTTTGAGGGAAAAGTGCCCTTAGCAAATGTTTTCCCTGGTGTGTGCATTCTTAGTATTGTGCGGGTCATAAGTGCAATGTACGCATTCAGTTACCAATTAAATCAGTCATTGGCTCAGTAAAACTATTTGAGTGACTCCCCTGTGCCAGGGTACCAGGACTGTCCTCGTTGGGGGAATAAAAGTGAAATTATAGTGCTTTCTTCTCTAGAAATCAGGATCTAGTGGAAAGCAAGGTGGGAAAGGAAGGAAGCTGGCAGGTGCAGCTTGGCTCTGTGCTAAGCATTCCTATCCACTTAACTGTCCGTAATCATCTGAAACCCCTGCAGACCTGGGAGGAAGCTATTCTATTGAAGAGGCTGAATGGTGTCAGGGAGAGAAGCTAGGCTTTAGAGTCACATGGCTCTAGTCGTGTGTCTCACCCTCTCTGTGTCCCCATGCTCTCCCTCTGTAAGATGGGGACAGTGATGGCACCCACCTCCCAGGTCTGCCATGGGACTGATGCGAGGGTGCGGGGCAGTGTGGGAATGGAGTCTGCACATGATGGGGGGTCAGGCAGCAGCCACAGGGCTGTCACCTCCATTTGGGAAGTGAGCAAGTCTTTTACCAGGCAATAGTGAGGAAGCAACGGAAACACATTCGGATCTAGGTTTACCTAACATAGTCCCAGGAATTCTCACGAAACAATTCTGCCTCCGTCCCCAATAGAAAATAATGCTTCCCATGTGTCAAGAGTAGGACATCAAGGCACATTTTTCTATGGAAACCAGAACTCCGAAGGATAGAAGATGAGCCTTAATCATGGCCCCTCATGTAGCTCAGCTCTCTTCTTCCTTCATTAAGATTGTTCTCTTAAATCAACAGTAGGCCTTGCTATCCTTGATATTAAAGATATTGAAAAATGCTGAGATGTGCGAGGCACCAGTTTCATTGACTTTCTGTGATCTCTATGAAGGAATGTGTGTTCATGTACTAATTTATTCATTGGTGAAACCAATGAATAAATTATAGCTGTACTCCTTTGGGCCAAAAAAAAAAAACAAAAAAAAACCCAGAGATAGTATTCCCAGGGCTTATATTATCTCAGGGCTTTCTATCTTTTTTGAATTGGGAGGGGGATTAAAGAATATAGTATTGATCTGCCTTTAAATGACATTTCATATACCAGTCGCTGTGCAGTGGGGATAAAGCCCCTCCTCCGCCCACTCAGAAAGCGGGGACCATTTCCTGCTCCAGATGTGGTCGCTGGAATCTCTGGGAGGCGTCCTTCTGCGGCTGGTGTGGCGCCATGGTGGGTATTTTATTTTATTTATTTTTATTTTTTTAAATCAAGAGACCTTCAAAGCGACTACAAATCCAACATGGTGGGTATTTTAAAACTGATATTCTGTATACTGAGCACCTCGCCACTGGCCTGGAGAGAGCCAGGCAAATCTTCCGTGGCCTTGCAGAAATCATTTCTTGTGATTTCGCTACTGCACCTATAACCTAAGAATCTGGAGATAGAGATAATTATCTTACGTTGAGAGCCATCTCTCATGACTGTTTTGATTTGTATTTCTTTGAGGTTAAACCTTGTCACTCATTTATTGACTACTGGCATTTTTAAAAATGGGTTCTGCCTGCCTGCCTTTATAATAAAACACTCAAGACTACGTATTCATTTATCTAAGTATTGTATGCAAATAATAAAAAAGTTTTAGAGTGAAGGGTTAGTTTCCTTTCTCATCTGAGTCCCAGAGTTCTCCTCTGAGAAGCAATTGCTAATATCCAGTTCTGGAGATGTTCTTTCAGCTATTCAATGCATGTGTAAGTGAACTGCTGCTATGAACACTGATCCAATTATTTTCACTTAGCAACATATCTTGTTAGTAACCACCTCATTCTTTTCAGTGGCTTCATAATCCATTGTTTGTATGCATGTACTGTGATCTATTTAGACCATCCCTATTGCTGGATATTTGTGTTGTTTTCAGTGATTTCTTTAAAATCACAGTGCTTTCGGGGTTGACTGGAGTACACTTATTTCTCTACTTGTCCCTCTGTGGGATAAATTCTGCAAGGTAGAATGGCTGGATCAGAGAATGTGGGCATATGTTATTTTATGTGGTATGAGAATAATTTACAGGAGGAAATTTTAACTCTAATATAAAGACATTTTCTATCCTCTAGCTTGGCATTCCTGCTGGCTGCTCTGTTTGCCCTAAATGTGGGGCCAGCAATCACCTGTCTGCCCGATTCTGTGGCTCCTGTGGTATTTGTGTGAAGTCCTGGGTGAGGCTCAGCATGGACAGAGGCCTGGCTCTAGCTGCTGAGGAACCTTGCCCTTTTTCTGAGGTGAGGCCACCCCTGTAGTAAGAACTGGTACCCAGGAAAATGATGTAACTCTGAATGTGTGTCCTCTACCCTGTGAATCAACCCTAGGGAAGAGACCCAAAATATTTAGAACTTTCACATGGAATTTCAACTGGGTGTGTAAATAAATGCAGTCAATTTAGATTTTAAACACTCGAATGATTTCTTCAGAAACCAGAGATCTAAATGGGCACATTTGTGTGTAGTAAATTGAGGTCTGTGTCATTGCATTTGCAAGGCTGTGGACCTAATGCCACTTTAGAATGCACTTCTCTTGAATTTCTTGCGTAGCATTCTGAGAACTTTCCCCTCCCCTTTTTTTATATTTTAGAAAACTTAGGTATATAAAATTGCTTTCGTGATTTATAACAGCTGGGCATAATTTGAGGAAAATCTCTCCAGGTTGTTTTCAGAAGTACTTAAGCTCTAAAACTGGCTTTGTGTTAGATTTTTATAATTTTATGAATTTCTCTAAGTTGGATAAAGACTTTTCATGTTTCTTCTTATCTCTTCATTATAAGAAGTTAAAGATTGGTAATTATTAGAGGATATACTCAGCACTTTGCATACAGTTTTAGGGAATTCATGGCTTCTTGACCGAGTTTGAAAGATTTAAATCTTGGACTGCCACTAGCCCTTATTCCTCTGTGCAAATGAAACAAAGGTGTTCTTTTCTTAAGACACATGACTGCCATCTATTGGAAATGGCTTGTAATATGCTGGTTTCTCTACTAGAAAAATTATTCTAGCCGGGCGTGGTGGCTCAAGCCTGTAATCCCAGCACTTTGGGAGGCTGAGGCGGGTGGATCACGAGGTCAGGAGATCGAGACCATCCTGGTCGACATGGTGAAACCCCATCTCTACTAAAAATACAAAAAAATTAGCTGGGCATGGTGGCGCGTGCCTGTAATCCCAGCTACTCAGGAGGCTGAGGCAAGAGAATTGCCTGAACCCAGGAGGCGGAGGTTGCGGTGAGCCGAGATCGCACCATTGCACTCCAGCCTGGGTAACAAGAGCGAAACTCTGTCTCAAAAAAAAAAAAAAAAGAAAAGAAAAGAAGAATTATTCTAATACATATGCAAATATATGATGTTTACCATGTGACTGGTACTACTTTCAATGCGGTGACTGTGTGCAGTGCACAACCCACACAACCTTACGTGGTAGTCCTCTCACGTCCTCGGGGTTCAGATGCAGGAAAGAAAATTAGCGGAAATGTTGGCGACCAGTAGCTGAGTGTGTATGAGTAGTGAGGTCTATGCTCTATCACATTATAGAGCTGACAACGATAGATACCTTCCAGGCATCCTGCAGGCCAGCAAACATCCCTTGATTTGCTGAATTTTAGATAATAAATGGCTACTCATGGATCAGGCTGGGAGTTGCTGGGAAAGACAGGAGCAAGGAGCATGAGGCAAAGGCTGGAAAACCCTTTTAGCTCGAAGTACAGTTTTTTTGAGATACATTTTATTCCTGTTAGAATTGTTTTCTGTAAGTAAAATGAAAGATTGATTCAATTATATTCTAATTTTAAAAAATGTTTTCTGCCTCACTTGTAGCCCCAACGTGCCTGGCAGTCTCTGAATATTCCTTTGCCCAGATCCGATGCTGGGACAAAGAGGGACGTAGGCACACAGACTGTTGGCCTGTTCTACCCATCCAGCAAGCTGCTAGCAAAAAAGGAACTGGAAATAGTCTCTCAAAAGCAGAGGCAGGAGAAAATGAGTGACCACAAACCCCTCCTCACAGCCATCAGCCCAGGAAGAGGTAAGGAGGATGCCCTTTCTTCTGGTTGGAAGGGAATTCACTCTTTCTCTGAAAGGACATTTCATTTTCTCTTCCTTTTAGGTTTATTTTTTTATTTTATTTTATTTATTTATTTTTTTGAGATGGAGTTTCGCCCTTGTTACCCAGGCTGAAGTGCAATGGCGTGATCTCGGCTCACCGCAACCTCCGCCTCCTGGGCTCAGGCAATTCTCCTGCCTCAGCCTCCTGAGTAGCTGGGATTACAGGCACGCGCCACCATGCCCAGCTAATTTTTTGCACTTTTAGTAGAGATGGGGTTTCACCATGTTGACCAGGATGGTCTCGATCTCCTGACCTCGTGATCCACCCGCCTCGGCCTCCCAAAGTGCTGGGATTACAGGCTTGAGCCACCGCGCCTGGCCCCCTATTTTTTTTTTTAAGAGGCAGGGTCTTGCTCTGTCACCCGGGCTGGAGTGCAGTGGTGCAATTATAACTGACTGCAGCCTCCAACTCTTGGCCTCAAGTGATCCTTTCACCTCAGCCTCTCAAGCTGAGAGACTACAGGTGCATTCCACCACTCCCAGCTCTTTTTTTACCTCCTTTTAAGCATGATTTCCTTTAGTTCCTTGAGGATACTTATAATGGCTGCTTTGAAGTCTTAGATCATCAACCTCTAGTTGCTATCACAGGCAGTTTCTGTTGGATATTTTTTTCCCCTGTGTTTGGGTCAGAGTTTCTTGTATCTTTGCATGTCTCAAGATTTTTTTGTTGGAAACTGGATGTGTTAGATAGTATATTGTGTCAACTCTGGGTACTGAGCTGTCTTCCAGGCTTGTTATTGTTATTTGTCTGTTTTAGTGAACAACTGGATCATTTTAGTGAACTCTATTTTACCCCCACAGTGTGGAGATTCTGACGTTACTCCATGGAGAGTGTAACCTTGGTATGCACCCTGGCACCGCCATAGGATGATGGTGGTTTGACGGGTCTCTCTTTGTCTCTTTCCTGACCACACCTAGCCATTAAGCTCTACTTATGTTAGATGATTTCTCTATTGTTTTCAACCATGACTTGGGGCATAAATTGCTTCACAGACAGGTTTAATTAAATTTGGCATCCTTTACAGCAGGGGTGTTTAATCTTTTGGTTTCCCTGGGCCACACTGGAAAAATTGTCTTGGGTCACACATAAAATTCACTAATACTAAGATAGCTGAGGAGCTAAAACAACAACAACAACAACAAAAACCTAATAATGTTCTAAGAAAGTTTACGAATCTGTGGCGGGCACTGTGGCTCAAACCTGTAATCCCAGCACTTTGGGAGGCCAAGGTGGGCAGATCACTGAGGTCAGGAATTCAAGACCAGCCTGGCCAACATGGGGCAAAACCCCATCTCTGCTAGAAATACAAAAATTAGCCAGGCATGGTGGCAAGCATCTATAATCCCAGCTACTTGGGAGGCTGAGGCAAGAGAATCATTTGAACCCAGGAGGCGGAGGTTGCAGTGAGCCAAGATAGTGCCACTGCACTCCTGCCTGGGCAACAGAGTGAGAATACATCAGGAAGGAAGGAAGGAAGGAAGGAAGGAAGGATGGTAGGTAGGTCGGTTTACGAATCTGTGAGGAAGGAAGGGAGAGAAGGAAGAAGGGAGGGAGGGAGGAAGGAAGGAAGGAAGGAAAGAAGGAAGAACGAAAGGAAGGAAAGTTAGTTTACGAATCTGTGTTGGGCTGCATTCGAAGTCATCCTGGGCCACATATGGCCTGTGGGCTGTGAGTTGGACAAGCTTACTTAACAGGGATAGTTTTTTAGGTCAGTGTTTGACTATTTTTCTTATTTCAGAAGGGCTCTTCTTAACTGTTAAGTTCCCTGGTCCTTTGAGGTAAACTGGCCGGCCTATTTAGCTCATATCTCTAGTGAATCTTCTAGTCTTTTCATTGCTTTTTAACACAACACAACCTCCATTGTTTTGAAAGCAGCCTTAGGCTTGAACTTTCCCACACTCTGTTGAAAATGAAGTCTTTTCCTTTGAGGAGAGATTCTGAATTCCAGTTTTTGACCTGCCTTTTCCCCTGGGCAAAATCTCTGAACCCCTGCTTTGGATGGTGGCATACTTTTCTCAATGTGGCACCATTGCTTTAGGGGCTGAGCAATGCTTTAGGTAACCAGCAGAATAGGGTGCAGCTGTAGCCTTTGTTCTTTGGGACTTGCTTCTTTCAACATTGGACTTGTGCCGAATGAGCCAGGAATAGGTGGTCTGGACCCCAGCATTCCCAGTGTCCCAGATATGGGCAGAGAAAGGGAGCCCCAGCCTCTTGACCACATTTGCCTGGAACTTAGCCTGTGCAAAGGGCAATTGGGACAGGATGAGAAATACTGAAGTCCCTGACCTTCCTCGGAAGATGTGAGGAGAGGGAGCCCTGTGTTCTTGGCCGCACCTATATGGAGTGGAGTTTCCATCGTGCTCAGTTGAGGAGTGGAAGGGAGTGGGCCATGGTTCAAACACCACAGACTCTCATGATTCTGAGTTTTGGTATACATTCATTAAACGTTTATTTTCTATATGGCTTTAGAACCATTTCTAGAGACTTAAAATAGTTGTGATGGGATTTGCTGTTTTTAAAATTAGTTTTGTTAGCAATGGCGAATTCATATGGGTATGAAGCAACCTCACTTCTTGCTTCCATGGAGGAAAGAATTTGGCTGAGAGGCATAAGGCAGAGTGAGGGACCAAGGCAAGTTTTAGAGCAGGAGTAAAAGTTTATTGAAAAGTTTTAGAGCAGGAGTAAAAGGAAGTAAAGTACACTTTGAAGAAGTCCAAGTGGGTGACTTAAGAAATTCAAGTGCACTGTTCAGCCCTTGATGTGGGGCTTATACATTGGCATGGTTCCAGAGTTTGTATTATATCTCCCCTGATTCTTCTTGCTGGGCTGTCCCCATGTGCAGTGGCTTGCCAGTACTTGGGAGGGGCCACACTCACCTGTATGTTTACTGAAGTTGTATAGTGTTAGGCGTGTCGCTCACGTAAAGAGACCACCAGGCAGTGCTTTCTGTGGGCAACGAGGCCATTTTACTCTGCACTTGGGTGCAAGCAGACCAAGTCCGAGAAAGGAGTTAGGCAAGGGGAGTAGGAAAGGGGACTGGTTACATAGGTTGAGGCAAATGGTCAATTAAAGGTTGTAATCTATTTTAGGGAGGTGGAAGGGCATTACAGGGTGTATAGTCACAAGGGTAGGGGTCATCTATTACAAATAGGCATGGTCATAAGGGTGGGAGTTATCAGTTGCAAGCAGAGGGGAGGGTGCAGTAAATTACATAGTTACAGGGATAGGGGTCTTGAGAAACCTAATATCTAGGGGGGAAGCTTTGCAAGGCTGAGCAGGAACAATGTTTGAACGTTGCAGGAGGAGAGCTGTCGGTTGAGGCAGGAGCCAGTTGTTTCACTTCACTTTGTGGCCATCTGATTACTTCAGACTTTCTGGCTCCTGGAGACCATCAGGAGGTGTACGTGCAGTCACCAAAGCTATAATGGCCAGGCTTGGACTTGGAGGCCTGACAGTGTGCATGCTCACTTGAGGCATTCCCTTACCCATTGAGTGTTCTAGAGAAAGGTCATGTACCAGTTAAACTCTGCCATTTTGCTTCTTAGTGCACATGGCTGAGCCTACTCATCCAGCTCTTGAGATTTCATCGGGAAGCTGCTGATCACCAGCTTCTGGTGTTTTCTGTCTACTGGGGGACCGCTGTTCCTTGGCACCAGCTACAACCAATTATTATTTTAGAGAAACAGTTTAACAACTGTCTGACCATCACCTGATGGTCACTGACATTTCTGGGGGTGGGGGAAGCCTTTCCTACCCTGTTCATGTCTCCCTAGCTACCTACTCTTAACAGTTTTGTTGGGGAGCAGATCCACTCAAATCCCTAGGCTGCCATGCCAGAAGTTGATCATTCCCAGCTCTTCCTTTGCCCTCTGGATGTCCCTAGTGGGAGTCAAAACCCAGCTTACAGTCTGACTGAGCTCTTCCAGATATAAACGTGGTATTAGACCTATGGTAGATTGTCTGCAGAGATGACCAGAGTCACTCCCCACATCTCTCTTCTCCTTAGGAGGAAGAGGCTGTGTCTCTTCCTTTGGAATCTGGACTGACCTTGTGACTTGCTTTTACCAATAAAGAACAGTAGAAGAGACACCATGATATTTCTGGGCCTAGGCCTTACAAGAGCTGAAAGCTTCCACCTACTTTCTAGGAAGCCAGCACTGTGTAAAGAAGTTCTCACTGAGTGAGAAGAGATGCCACATGAAGGAGAACAGAGCACCTGAGCGAGCAGCCTATCCCAAAGACTCCAGGCATTTGAATGTGTGCAGACAAAGGCTGAGTCATCCCAGACAGCTCTCAGTAGTTTGTGCCATCTTTGCCGAGGCCTAAGCCTTGTGGCTGAGATAATCTTGGATCCCATAACCCTATCTGAGATGGCTCAGCCGACACCATGTGGAGCAGAGATGAACCACCCCTGCAGAGCACTGACCATATTCTCGACCCACAGAAGTATGAGCAGAAAAGTGGTTGATTTGTTAAATCACTAAGTTCTGGGTTGTTTCGTTTGGTAGCAATGATTAATAGAAATAGGATTTCAGTTTTCTGTAGCAGAAGCCAATTTCCTTGGAATCCCCTCATTCAGCCTGACCTGGAAGGGAACAGACCTCACCTCTCCTTGGGGACTCACAGTCTTAGACCCTTTCCGAAGGACTTCCTCACAAGGTTCTTTCTCAGTGCTTTTTTGAAAGTTGAGATTTGATTTTAGAAATATACATCTATTGTATTGTAGCTTCTCCGTCAGAACCTCATTTTTAATATACTCCTACATACATATTTATTTTCATATTATCTATGTTCACTGAGAATTTAAGCTCCTTGAGGGTAAGAATTCTGTTCACTCCTGTGTATCCTAGCCCTAGAATAATACATGACCAATAGTAGGTGCCCAGTAAATATTTGTGGGATAAATGGCTACTTTGTGTCAAATAGTGAACTAGGCTCAGTATGATCTCTAGTGTTATCTTGATTACTCATAGTAGACTCTCCAGATGCCCCAAGCCAGATCTCAGCCTGCAGCTGTGGTCAATGGTTCCACCTCTATCATTGCTAGTATGCCTGATCAAATGTGCCCCATTCTTTCTCTTTTATTTACATAGTTTTATTTAAATAGTTTTATCTGTTTTATTTAAATTCTTTTCTCTCTCTTGATTTTGCTGCCTCTAACTCAGAACAGGAGAAGGCTGCCTGTCCATGCACAGGTGCAACTCAGAAGCACTGGGCGTTAACACTACTTGGGCTACTCTCACACATGGGCAAGGGAGCCGGGAAGCAGATCCTCTATAGCTTCTCTGTCCTTCAGCAGAAAACTGTTCTCTATGGTCCCTCGGATCCCCAGCAAGATCAGGCCCCAGTTGCCAACAGTATTAACCAGTTTTTGACACATTCTTTCTTCCTTCCCTTCCCTGTCCTGCTCTTTGTACTCCATGTCCTTGCATGTCCCACGGTTACCTTCCAAAGAAACCACCTTTCCTAAGTCTTTATCTCAGTTCTGCTTTCAGGGAAACTCAACTAAGAACACTTAGGTTCTTTTGTTTAATGTCACAATAACATGTGAGGTAGGGGTATTCCATTTTATTAGGTAAGAAAAGTAGGGCATAGGGAGATGTAAGGGTCTGGCTCAACATCCCTAAGCTAATAAATGGTAGATTTAGGATTTAAATGCTGGCTTGTCTGAACTCCAAATCATGTGCTCTTTCCACTGAACCATGCTGCATGACCTTGAAAAAACTCTGCTTTCAGCTTAGTGTCTTCAGTTGGTAGGTGGGATTCGATGTGGGTTTACAGAGTCAAGTGGCCACAGGGCACAGCAGGGGCTGTGGCCAGCTGGAGAGCCTGTGCCCTGTCCAAAGCAGCCAGTTGCTCTTTGGTCTCAGGTGTTCAGCCTGTGTAGGAAGGTGAGCCCAGTGCCCCTGCATTTTCCACCTGCATATGAGAAACAAGGCATGAAACTCACGTGAAATCTCTCAAGTTTTAAAAGGTGGCAACTAATTCAAAGTGTGTCTTAAACCCTATGCAGACTGGAAAGGGGCCCAAGATAACTTTTTGGAGTGATGGAAATGTTTTATATATTGATTGGGATGTACACATTTGGCAAGCCCCAAACAGTACATTTAATATATTGTGTAAGGGCTGGGTGTGGTGGCTCACACTTATAATCCTAGCACTTTGGAAGGCCAAGGCAGGAAGATCACTTGAGCTCAGGAGTTTGTGACCAGCCTGGGCAACATGGTGAAACTCCATCTCTAAAAAATATAAACCCTATCCAGGTATTATGGTACGTGCTTGAATTTCCAGCTACTTTGGTGGCTAAGGTGGGAGGATCATCTGAGCCTGGAGAGGTCAAGGTTATGGTAAGCCATGATCACACCACTGCACTCTGGCCTGGGCAACAGAGTGAGATCCCATCTCAAAATAAATAAAATAAAATAAAACATTAGGTAAGTTATTATAGGTGGTATAGAATCACAGAAAAAGAAAAGACCGCACGTGTGACAATCAAAATATATTCTTTTGAAATTCTTTTTTTGTTGAGATGTGCTGTTCTGTCACCCAGGCTACAGTACAGTGGCACAATCTTGGCTCATTGCAACCTCCTCCTCCTGGGTTCAAGTGATTCTCCTTCCTCAGCCTCCTGAGTAGCTGGGACTAGAGGTGCGTGCCACCATGCCCAGCTAATTTTTGTATTATTAGCAGAGACAGACTTTCACCATGATGGCCAGGCTGGTCTCAAACTTTTGACCTCAAGTGATCCATCTGCCTCGGCCTCCCAAAGTGTTAGTATTATAGGTGTGAGCCAATGCGCCCAGCCTCTTTTGAGATTTTATGATATTCTATGATTAATCACATGTAACAAGAAGCTACGGGGGGAAATGGAACTTGTTCTAGGACATAGTTGAAGTTCAGTAAGGAAAGCCTATCACAAAGTTTGACAAAGGAAATTAACCTCTCTGAGAACATATGTTCCATGCGAGCATTTTTCTTTCTTAGCCTCAGGAGAATCATCCAGATGGCTGGGTTTCTCTTCTTAGGGTACTGGAGAAGACAGCTGGATCACATCTCTGCTCACCTCAGGTGTTATGCTCAGAACAACCCTGAATTCCGGGCCTTGATTGCAGAACCCAGGATGGGAAAGGTGGGTGAGATGAAATTTCCACTCTGCAAGTGTCCACGGGATCAGGCTGATGGAACCCTCCATGGACTTTGCTGAAACTGCATCTTGCCTGGTTCCTTTCTCTTTCCTGCTCCGCTTTCTATAGCTTCTTACTCTTCTGCCTTTTGAGCTCTGTTCTAATAAATCACTTGCAGGTGAAGATTGTCTCAGAGTCCTGCCTCTGGGGCACCTGACCTAAGACAATACGATTCTGAACATCTCATGCTCAGATGCTACATTGGAAATTCTAATAGAATGAAAAGTCCCAGAACAGTTTAGTCCAGCCAGATTGTGGACTTAAATCATATACTGTTAATATATAGCAATAGTAACATAAAAGCTGCCATTTTACAGTAGACCCAGCATCAGCATTGTATTCATCATTCTAGTCTTCACAGCAAACCTGCAAGGGAGGAGTATTACCTTTGTGATCACTTTTTCTAAAAAATAACCACAAATTCCTTGACTGTCTTCCCTTCAAACGGTGGAATCGGTGCCCTCTCACATACAGATTGAATCTAGGTGGGTCTGTGACTGTTAGACTAATAGACTATGGTGGAAGTGATGCCAATGAGACTTCCAAGGCTTGGCCATGTAAGGTCATATGGCTTTCTCTTGCTTGGCACACTCACCTCTTAACACCCCTTCTTGGAGCTCAGCCACCCTGCTATGAGAGGCCCAAGCCACATAGACTGGCCATGTGTAGGTGCATCAGCTGAATCCAGTTCTTGAGTCATCTCTGCACAGGAGCCACATGAGTGACCAGACTCTAGATAAATTCCAGCCCCCAAACATCCAACCACCTCTAGCCAGTTGAGTCTTCCAGCTGAGGCCTCAGACATGTGGAACAAAGACAAGCTATCTCTGCTATGTCCTCTCTGAATCCTTAGCATCATACGGTGGTGGTGGTTTAGTGCTGCTAAGTTTGAGGTGATTTTTCACACCACACTAGGTAATCAGAAGCCTTATTTGACACCCAGGAATATTGAAGCTCAGAGAGTTTTGGTGACCTGCACAAGACTACACTGCTGGGTCTCATGGGGTTCAAGATTTGAAGCAGGTCTGTCAGACCCTGTTAGACCCTGTCAGAGCCCCATGTCCTTTCTTTTTTTTTTTTTTTTTTTTGAGATGGAGTTTTGCTCGTTACCCAGGCTGGAGTGTGCAATGGCGCGATCTCGGCTCACTGCAACCTCCATCTCCTGGGTTCAGGCAATTCTCCTGCCTCAGCCTCCTGAGTAGCTGGGATTACAGGCACGCACCACCATGCCCAGCTAATTTTTTGTATTTTTAGTAGAGACGGGGTTTCACCATGTTGACCAGGATGGTCTCGATCTCTTGACCTCGTGATCCACCCGCCTCAGGCCTCCCAGAGTGCTGGGATTACAGGCTTGAGCCACCGCTCCCGGCCCTTTCTTTCTTTGAAACTACATTGCCATTATAGAAAGACAGCTCTGTGAGAGGACCTTTCCTCTGTTTGTCGCAAGACTAGAAGGAACTTTATGAAATAGATTGTCTACTCCTCTGCTGCCAAATAGGCCAACATTGAGATGATCTCATTTTCAAGTGCTGCCCAATTTCCTTTGATAATCTATTTTGGTAGTTTATGAATTCTTCAGCCTAATCCAAAGATTTGCAAATTATGACAGCTGGGACAAATCTGGCCCACTGCCCAGTTTTGTAAATAAAATCTTATGCACCCATTCCATTACTTGTTATATGTGGCTGCTTCGTGCTATGACAATCACGATACAGAACATATGGTCAACAAGACCTAAAGTATTTACTATCTGAGCCTTCCTGAAAACATTTCTTGCCCCTTGGCTGAATCTAAATTCCTATTGCTACTTCCAGAGAAAGCTGCTCCACTGTGATACTTGTCCCTTAATTGCCAAGCCCTGTCCCCACCCCCTACCAGAACACCTTTTCCAAGGTGATGACCTCTGATCATGTAGTTTGATTAAAGTGCGTCTCTTGAAGAATGTATAGATTTGGATCTTGCCTTTTTATTCAGTTTTCAGTCTCTTTAGGGTATTCAGTTAATTTATAATTAGTAGAATTTAGATATGGTTGGATTTGGATCTGCCATTTTGTTCTTTGTTTTCTATTTATCTGGTTTTTGTTGCTCTGTTTTTCTTTTCCTCCTTTCTTCTGTTTTAATTAAATATTTGGTTAAATTTATTTCTACACTGTTACTTAAGGCAATGAGTCCTATACCCACAGTTATAAATTCTCTCTACAATTCTTTTAAAAGCTTATCTCTGCTACTGTCCACGAAGATGGTTGTGAAGTTAGCATCAGACTGAATTATATTCAAGTCTCAAACAAGGTGAGTAAGCCTCCAGAAGTTATTCATTCGAGAATGGACTGAGCTAGTAAATTAGGATTTACAATTTATAGAAATGCTTCTGTGTAATCCATAGAAAGGAAATGATTCAAATATTTATGAAATGCTACTAGAGGCAAGCAATTTCATAGAATTAGATGAACAAGTTAAACCTCAGACAGGCACAGAAAGACGTAGTGCGAACAGGAGTTTTTCTGTAGTTCTCAGGCTTATTCATATTTACTGAAGTCTGATGGCATGTCTGTGATACAACTGATTTGCGGAAAGACTGACAAAAATACTTGCTGATGACCTTTGACATATTTTCTTCTATCAAATAAACCAAACTTTGTGGCCATGTGTTCTTGATCTTCCCTTTTATATAGTGACTAGGGTGTTGCCCAGAGCCTGTAAGTGTGTTTCAAACATTAATTGATTGACATTAGTTGACATTAGCAGCTTCAGTTTCATTGGACAAGAAGTCAGAATAATTGATCAATCAATTAAGAAGCCAAGGAAAAAGAGGGGAATTCACGTTTTTTTTGTTTTTTTTTGTTTTTTTTTTTTAGACGGAGTCTCGCTCTTGTTACCCAGGCTGGAGTGCAATGGTGCGATCTCGGCTCACCGCAACCTCCGCCTCCTGGGTTCAGGCAATTCTCCTGCCTCAGCCTCCTGAGTAGCTGGGATTACAGGCACGAGCCACCATGCCCAGCTAATTTTTTGTATTTTTAGTATTTTTGTATTTTAGAGACGGGCTTTCACCATATTGACCAGGATGGTCTCGATCTCTCGACCTCGTGATCCACCCGCCTCGGCCTCCCAAAGTGCTGGGATTACAGGCTTGAGCCACCGCGCCCGGCGGAATTCACATTTATTAGGCCCCGGCAAGGTGCTAATGGTGTTGCTGAAATTCGATAGAAACATGGGCCCTGTCTAACTTATGGGGAGACTGGGACTCTCTAATGGGCGAATGCACATGAATGTGCTTTGAAACCAAATAAAGCACTACCTGCTGTTTTTCATTGTGTGGCTAGAGCAGAGCTTGGGTCAGAGAAGAATTTCAGGGAGAGGGGAGTGAAGGAAGGCAGCGGAAGGGGCCGAATGAGCAGGTAGACAAAAGCAAAGTTGAGCTTTAGCCTGATCCAAGGGGACCTCTGGAGGATGAATTACACCACAAAGTTGTCCCCAGCTGAGGTAGGGAGGGGACGGAGGATAACTTCTAGGACAAGGCAGCATCCGTGTACTGAGGGCACTTTGCTGGAGAAGGAGGTCCAGCAGTGAGCTCTTAGCAGCTGCACAACAGCTAGGGTGGGTAACCTGGCCAGCTAGTGGGAGCAGGGTGGGCCGCCAGCAGCACCTCCAGCGCACTATCTCTCAAGTAGAATTGGAATAACTGTTCCCAGTTGTCGTGGGTTTGTTTTGTTTGTTTTGTTTTGCTTTTTTGGCTTTTGTTTTCTGAGACAGATTCTTGCTCTGTCAACCAGGCTGGAGTGCAGTGGCACAATCTCGGCTCACTGCAAACTCCACCTCCTGGGTTCAAGCACCTCTCATTCCTCAGCTGTCTGTGTAGCTGGGATTACAGGCTCATGCCACCACACCCAGCTAAGTTTTGTATTTTTAGCAGAGATGAGGTTTCACCATATTGGCCAGGCTGGTCTCAAACTCCTGGCCTCAAGTGATCCACCTGTCTCAGCCTCCCAAAGTGCCGGGATTACAGGCGTGAGCCACCGCACTTGGCCCTTAGATTTAATAAATCTTTTCTTAGCCTGCATATTCTAGTGTTCAGGAAGTAGCAGGCTGTTCTTTGGGACAGGAGCAGCCAGCCACGTGAGGGTGCAGCGGGATCAGTCCAGGTGCCACAGACTTCTGTGTCTGGCCTCATTATATAGACACCCATTTTACCACATTTTGCTTTCACAACATGCCATTGAGGTAGGTCATAATATTTCTACTTTCCAGGTGAGGAAACTGAGGCTTACAGAAGTTAAGCAACCTGCTTCTTCCAAGGGCACTAAGTCAGTAAGTGGCAGGCCCTAGGATTCACACTTGGCAGCCTGAGACCTTCCCATCATGACACCCTAATTACAAGACATTGAAGGACTTGAAGCAGAGAAATAATACAGTCACTTATAAAGGGTACAAAGGTGAATCAGGACAGCCATGTGGCAGGGAGACTGGCAGACCCCTGTTGAGAGGCTATTGTGATGGTCCCAATGTGAGACGAAGGGGCCAGGGGTTCAGTGAGGGAGAGGAGGAGGGGCCAGACTGAGCCACTGGGTAAGCAACAGAATGGATAAAGCATCTTGGGAAGGCGAGGAGTAGTCAGGAAGGACTTCCAGGTCTCAGGCTCAACTGTCCGGGTAGGTAGAGCTGTCCTTAAGTAAGGAGGAGCAAGTTAGCAGGGAGATCCTTCTCTCTAGTGGGACAAAGCAGCCTCATCATTCATGGTGTTTGAATGTTTTCATTGACCAGAACCTTTACCTGAACAAGGCGGTGAATTTCAGCAGTGCTGCTGAGGGTGATGGGGGGCTGTGCGGCAGCAGGTCCAGCTGGGGTGAGTTGTTCCCTTCTGGCAATTTTAAAACAACTGACCAGGAACACGTCGACTTGGTAGGGATAGCAGAGAATCGCTCAGAATTTGACAGGCCAGTTACAGATGTTGCAATTATGTTTCCAGTCCATTTTATTTCTCTGGCTTCTCTGAAGTCAGAAGTGAGACTTTTGAAGTCCTTTACAGGGCGTGGGGAAATTCATTTGTGGGGTCCCCCTTTGAACCTAAAAACTGAAGTCCCTTTTTTCCACCCTCCTCCCCACCCTTCCTCTGGTGCCTGGACAGGGGAGTAGCTCCAGGAGTCTCTCCTGCCAGGTTTAATCAAATAGAAATTTCTATGCAAGCCATTTTATCCTCTGACTTTTGAGGGACATGGAAGTAGAAATAGCTCTTTGTGTGGGGAACTGGGGGAGGGGCATCATTTTTCCCCCAACTCTGTCATTTCAGTGAGTGACTACAGCCAGACCACCTCAGATACTATTGAAAAAATCAAAAGGATAAGGAATTTCAAGACCAAAACCTCTCAAGAAAAGAAGGAGCAGCTTGTAGTAAGTGTCCTTTTTGGTCCTTATTGCTGTTGCCTTCAGCCTGTGATTTTCAGGTTTTATTTTGACTTTTTAAAAATGGAAGAATAATTCTCATTTTCTGTTCCTTTTTTATAAGAGCTTTTATTTTATAGAGGTAGACTCATTTAAAATATCTTGAAATTATGAATTAGAGTTATTTCAAAGTTTCCATCAGTTTCCTGAATCATCCGTTTCGTATGGGGTCACTTCTGTCTGCCCATCTTTCTCTTTCCTGTTTTTGGTTTGCCTCAAATACGTGATGATCCTTGGTTGTCTGGTCATTTGACAAATAAAGGCTAGTTGGGTAGCACAGATGCTCTCATGGTGCCCAGCATGAGGAAGGCCCCTGAAGTCTCTTTGTGAGTGGATGGGCATGTTGTGGACAGATGTCCCCGGAGGGTGTGTGGGCAGGGATCAGGAGAAAGCCTTCAGATCCCCTGTGTTGCTGGTGGCAAAGGTCTCCCTCTGGTGGTGAGACTGTTGGTGGTGTGAAGCGCTGTCATGGGTTTCAGCTTGGGATGAAGCTTTTTTCCTTTTTCTCTACACCCTCCTCTATGTCTGTTGTGGAGGTCTAGGCTGTGCCAATTCTCCCTTTTTGGGCCCCAGTAGGCCAAGTAGAAGCCTTTGTTGGGCAAATCATATACTTTCTACAAAATCGTTATCAGGGCAAAGAGCATAAGCCTCCTGCCGTTCTTACAGGGGGGAGAAGGAGCAAGGCACCAGAGATCTCAACTATTCACCATAGAGTCCTTAATAACCTTCTCATGCATTCAGGCTGCACCCATCACCTAACCTCTTTATTTGTTAATTTAAGCTTCTGTAGGGCTTTCCTGGAGAGAAACACTCCTACCTTTGGTGTCTTCAGCTGGATTTTTGTTTGTTTTGGTTTAGTTTCCCTGTCAGTCAGATTTCATCTATTTTCTTTCTTTCTTTTTTATTTTACCTTAAGTTCTGGAGTTCACGTGCAGATCTTGCAGGATTGTTACCTAGGTAAACACATGCCATGGTGGTTTGCTGCATCCATCCCCCCGTCACCTACATTAGGTATTTCTCCTAATGTTATCCCTCCCCAACCTCCCCACCCGCTGCTGTTGCTCCTCAGTCTCCCATACCCCAACAGACCCTAGTGTGTGATGTTCCCCTCCCTGTGTCCATGTGTTCTCATTGTTCAACACCCTCTTATGAGTGAGAACATGTAGTGCTGTTTGGTTTTCTGTTCTTGTGTCAGTTTGCTGAGAGTGATGGTTTTTGATTCATCCATGTCCCTGCAAAGGACATGAACTCATCTTTTTTATGGCTGCATAGTATTCCATGGTATATGTGTGCTACATTTTCTTTATCCAGTCTATCATCAATGGGCATTTGGGTTGGTTTCAAGTCTGCTATTGTAAACAGTGCCGCAGTGAACATATATGTGCATGTGTCTTTGTAATAGATTGATTTATAATCCTTTGGATATATACCCAGTAATGGGATTGCTGGGTCAAATGGTATTTCTATTTCTAGGTCCTTGAGGAATCACCACATTGTCTTCCAGAATGGTTGAACTAATTTACCTTCCTACCAACAGTGGAAAAGTGTTTCTATTTCTCTACATCCTCTCCAGCCTCTGTTGTCTCCAGATTGTTTAATGATTGCCATTCTAACTGGTGTGAGATGGTATCTCAGTGTGGTTTTGATTTGCATTTCTCTAATGGCCAGCAATGATGAGCATTTTTTCATATGTTTGTTGGCCATATAAATGTCTTCCTTTGAAAAGTGTCTGTTCATATATTTTTGCCCAATTTTTGATGGTGGTGTTTGTTTTTTTCTTGTAAATTTGTTTTAGTTATTTATAGATTCTGTATATTAGCCCTTGTCAGATGGGTAGATTGCAAAAATTTTTTCCCATTCTGTTGGTTGCTGGTTCACTCTAATTGTTTCTTTTGCTGTGCAGAAGCTCTTAAGTTTAATTAGATTCCATTTGTCTATTTTGGCTTTTCTTGTCATTGATTTTGGTGTTTTAGTTATGAAGTCCTTGCCTATGCCTATGTCCTGAATGGTTCTTCTAGGGTTTTTATGGTGTTAGATCTTATGTTTAAATCTCTAATCCATCTTGAGTTAATTTTTGTATAAGGTGTGGAATGGGTCCACTTTCAGCTTTCTGCACATGGCTAGCCAGTTATCCCAACACCATTTATTAAACAGGGAATCCTTTCCCCTTTGCTTGTTTTTGTCCAGTTTGTCAAAGATCAGATGGTTGTAGATGTGTGGCTTTACTTCCGAGGCCACTGTTCTGTTCCATTGGTCTATATCTCTGTTTTGGTACCAGTACCATCCTGTTTTGATTACTGTAGCCTTGTAGTATAGTTTGAAGTTAGGTAGCATGATGTCTTCAGCCTTGTTCTTTTTGCTTAGGATTGTCTTGTCTATGTGAGCTCTTTTTTGGTTCCATATGAAGTTTAAGGTGGTTTTTTCCAGTTCTATGAAGAAGGTCAATGGTAGTTTAATGGGGATAGCACTGAATCTGTAAATTACTTTGGGCAGTATGGCCATTTTCACGATATTGATTCTTCCTAATCATGAGCATGGAATGTTTTTCCATCTGTTCCTCTCTTGTTTCCTTGAGCAGTGGTTTGTGTATCTCCTTGAAGAGGTCCTCCACGTCCTTTGTATTCCTAGGCATTTTAGTCTCTTCATAGCCATTGTGAATGAGAGTTCGCTCATGATTTGGCTGTCTGTTTGTCTGTTATTAGTGTATAGGAATGCTTGTGATTTTTGCACATTGATTTTGTATCCTGAGACTTTGCTGAAGTTGCTTATCATCTTAAGGAGATTTGGGGATGAGATGATGGGGTCTTCTTTTTTTTTTTTTTTTTTTTTTTTTTTTTTTTTTTTTTTTTTTGAGACGGAGTTTTTGCTCGTTACCCATGCTGGAGTGCAATGGCGCAATCTCGGCTCACCACAATCTCCGCCTCCTGGGTTCAGGCAATTCTCCTGCCTCAGCCTCCTGAGTAGCTGGGATTACAGGCACGCGCCACCATGCCCAGCTAATTTTTTGTATTTTGAGTAGAGACGGGGTTTCACCATGTTGACCAGGATGGTCTCAATCTCTTGACCTCGTGATCCACCCGCCTCGGCCTCCCAAAGTGCTGGGATTACAGGCTTGAGCCACCGCGCCCGGCGATGATGGGGTCTTCTAAATATACAATCATGTCATCTGCAGATAGAAACAATTTGACTTCCTCTTTTCCTAATTGAATACCCTTGATTTCTTTTTCTTGCCTGACTGCTCTGGCTAGAACTTCCAATACTGTGTTGAATAGGAGTGGTGAGAGAGGGCACTCTTGTCTAGTGCCAGTTTTCAAACGGAATGCTTCCAGTTTTTGTCCATTGAGTATGATATTGGCTGTAGGTTTGTCATAAATAGCTTTTATTATTTTGAGATACAATCCATTGATGCCTAGTTTATTAAGTTTTTAGCATAAACGGCTGTTGAATTTGTCAAAGGCCTTCTCTGCATCTAGTGAGACAATCATGTCATTTTCGTCTTTGGTTCTGTTTATGTGATGGATTATGTTTATAGATTTGTTTATAGATTTTATAGAATAATCTATATTCTAATAATAATATAGATTATTATATGTTGAACCAGCTTTGTATCCCCTGGATGCAGCCTACTTGATTGTGATGGATAAGCTTTTTGATATGCTGTTGCATTCGGTTTGCCAGTATTTTATTGAAGATTTTTGCATAGATGTTCATGATGGAATTTGGCCTGAAATTTTCTTTTTTTAGTTGTATTTCTGCAGGTTTTGGTATCAGGATGATGTTCATCTCATAAAATGAGTTAGGGAGGGTTCCCTCTTTTTGTATTGTTTGAAATGATTTCAGAAGGAATGGTTCCAGTTCCTCTTTGTATGTCTCGTAGCATTCAGCTGTGAACCCAGGACTTTTTTTGTGTGGTAGGCTATTAATTGCTACCTCTACTTCAGACCTTGTTGTTGCTCTATTTAGGGATTCAGCTTCTTCCTGGTTTAGTCTTGGGAGGGTGTAAGTGTCCAGGAATTTATCCATTTCTTCTAGATTTACTGGTTTATGTGCAGAGAATTGTTTGTAGTATTCTCTGATAGTAGTTTGTATTTCTGTGGAATTGGTGATGATAGTCCCTTTATCATTTTTTATTGCATCTATTCTTTCCTCTTTTCTTTTTTATTAGTCTGGCTAGCAGTCTATCTATTTTGTTGATCTTTTCAAAAAAACAGCTCCTGGATTTATTGATTTTTTTTGAAGGGTTTTTTGTGTCTCTGTCTCCTTCAGTTCTGCTCTGATCTTAGTTATTTCTTGTCTTCTGCTAGCTTTTGAATTTGTTTGATCTCGCTCCTCTAGTTCTTTTAATTTTGACAATAGGGTGTTGATTTTAGATCTTTCCTTGCTTCACATATGGGCATTTAGTGCTATAAATTTCCCTCTGGACACTGATTTAAACATTTAAATCTCTGGGATACATTCCCAGAGATTCTGGTATGTTGTGTCTTTGTTCTCATTGGTTTCGAAGAACATCTTTATTTCTGCCTTCATTTCATTATTTATCCAGTAGTCATTCAGGAGCAGGTTGTTCAGTTTCCATGTAGTTGTGTGGCTTTGAGTGAGTTTCTTAATCCTGAGTTCTAATTTGATTGCACTGTGGTCTGAGAGACTGGTTGTTATGATTTCTGTTCTTTTGCATTTGCTGAGGAGTGATTTACTTCCAATTATGTGGTCAGTTTTAGAGTAAGTGCGATGTGGTACTCAGAAGAATGTATATTCTGTGGATTTGGGGTGGAGAGTTCTGTAAGTGTCTATTAGGTTTGCTTGGTTCAGATCTGAGTTCAAGTCCTGGATATCCTTGTTAATTTTCTGTCTCATTGATCTGTCTAATATTGACAGTGGAGTGTTAAAGTCTCCCGCTATTATTGTGTGGGAGTCTTAAGTCTCTTTGTAGGTTATTAAGAACTTGCTTTATGTATCTGGGTGCTCCTGTATTGGGTGCATATATATTTAGGATCATTAGCTCTTCTTGTGCATTTATCTTTTTACCATTATGTAATGCCCTTCTTTGTCTCTTTTGATCTTTGTTGGTTTAAAGTCTGTTTTATCAGAGATTAGGATTGCAACCCCTTTTTTTTTGCTCTCCATTTTCTTGGTAAATCTTCATCCCTTTATTTTGAGTCTATATGTGTCTTTGCATGTGAGATGGGTTTCCTGGATACAGCACACAGATGGATCTTGACTTTTTATCCAATTTGCCAGTCTGTGTCTTTTGATTGGGGCATTTAGCCTGTTTACATTTAAGGTTAATATTGTTATGCATTAATTTGATCCTGCCATTTTGATGCTAGCTGGTTGTTTTGCCAGTTAGACGACGCAGTTTCTTCATTGTGTCAATGGTCTTTACCATTTGATACATTTTTACAGTGGCTGGTACTGGTTGTTCCTTTCCATATTTAGTGCTTCCTTCAGGAGCTCTTGCAAGGCAAGCCTGGTGGTGATGAAATTTCTCAGTGATTGCTTGTTCATAAAGGATTTTATTTCTCCTTCACTTTTGAAGCTTAGTTTGGCTGGATATGAAATTCTGGGTTGAAAGTTCTTTTCTTTAAGGATGTTGAATATTAGCCTCCACTCTCCTCTGGCTTGGAGGGTTTCTGCTGAGAGATCTGCTGTGAGTCTGATGGGCTTCCCTTTGTGGGTAGCTTGACCTTTCTGTCTGGCTGCCCTTAGCATTTTTTCCTTCATTTCAACCCTGGTGAATCTGACAATTAAGTGCCTTGGGGTTGTTCCTCTTGAGTAATATCTTTGTGGAGTTCTCTTTACTTCCTGGATTTGAATGTTGGCCTGCCTTGCTAGGTTGGGGAAATTCTCCTGGATAATATCCTGAAGAATGTTTTCCGGCTTGGTTTCATTCTCCCTGTCACATTCAGGTACACTGATCAAATGTAGATTAGGTCTTTTCACATAATCCCATATTTGTTGGAGGCTTTGTTATGTCTTTTCACTCTTTTGTCTCTCGTCTTGCTTTCTCATTTTATTTCATTGAGTTGATCTTCAATCCAGAGATACCCTTTCTTCTGCTTGATCGATTTGGCTATTGAAACTTGTGTATGCTTGCAAAGTTCTCATACTGTGTTTTTCAGCTCCATCAAGTCATTTATGTTCTTCTCCAGCCTGGTTATTCTAGTCAGCATTTCATCTAACCTTTTTTCAAGCTTCTTAGTTTCTTTGCATTGGGTTAGACCATGTTCCTTTAGCTCAGAAAAGTTTGTTATTACCTACCTTATGAAGCTTCCATCAATTCGTCAAACTCATTCTCCATCCAGTTTTGTTCCCTTGCTGGTGAGGAGTTGTGATCCCTTGAAGACAGAGAGGCATTCTGGTTTTGGGTGTTTTCATCCTTTTTGTGCTGGTTTCTTCCCATCTTCATGGATTTATCTACCTTTGGTCTTTGAAATTGGTGACTTTTGGATGGGGTCTCTGAGTGGACATCCTTTCTGTTGATGTTGGAGCTATTTCTTTCTATTTTTTAGTTTTCTTTCTAACAGTCAGGCCTCTCTGCTGCAGGACTGCTGGAGACCCTGCTTGCCTGGGAATCACCCTCAGGGGCTACAGAACAGCAAGGATTGTTGCCTGTTCCTTCCTCTGGTAGCTTCATATCAGAAGTCAGCCAGATGTCAACCACAGCTTTCCTGTATGAGGTGCCTCTTTGGATATATGGGGGTCAGGGAGCCCCTTGAGGAGGCAGTCTATCCGTTATCAGAGCTCAAGTGCTGTGCTGTTCCATTCAGAGCTGCTGGGCAGGGACTTTTAAGTCTGCTGCAGTGGAACTCACAACTGCCTCTTTTCCCAGGTGCTGTCTCCTGGAAGGTGGGGCTTTATTTATAAGTCCCTGACATGTTGCTACCTTTTTTCAGAGATGCCCTGCCCAGCAAGGAAGGAGTCTAGTCACAGTCTGCCTGCAGAGGTGTTGCTGAGGTGCTACGGGCTCTGTGCAGCTCCTGTGTAAACATCCTTGTGGTTTTGTTTACACAGTTAAGGTTAGAACTGCCTCAGTAATGGCGGACTGCCTCGGTAATGGTGGACGCCCTTCCCCATAAAGAGCTCCACCATCCCAAGTCAAGCTCAAACTGCTGTGCTGGCTGCGAAACTGTCAAGCCAGTGCGTTTCATATTGCTGATCTTTGTGAGGGTGGGATCTGCCAAGCCAGATCACCTGGCTCTCTGCCTTCAGCCCCCTCTTTTTCAGGGGAATGTGTGGCTGTGTCTCACAGGTGTTCCAGGCACCAGTTGAAACAGGCACCCAGATTTGTGTGGGTTTTTGTGCTGGAAACCTGTGGCCCTTGTTGGCTTGTGGAAGTCTCCTGGTCTGTAAAGGAGAAAAGAAAATCTTTTGGGCTCTAAAGACCCTGTGAGAAGCCCACTAACTGAAACTGAGTGTCGGAGTGGCCAGAAGAGCCCCCGAGGGCCTCTGTTGGGTAGGAGTAGGGGGTCCTCCAGTCTGCTGGACTTCCCAGGTGAGGCAGCACCCCACCCTGCCTGGTACCTCGGTTGGAAATGCTGTAATCACTGTCTCTCTGCATCACTCGCACTGGGAATTGTGCTCCGGAGCTGTTCCTATTCGGCCGTCTTGGTGGAGCTCCCTTAGTCTGTTCTTGTGTTTCTATTAAAAAACACCTAAGGCTGGGTAGTTTATAAGGAGATTTAATTAGCTCACAGTTCCGCAAGCTATACAGAAAGTGCGGAGCCAGCATCTGCTTCTGGTGAGGACCTCAGGGAGTGTCTAGTCGTGGCAGAAGGCGAAGGAGGAATAGGCACATTACATGGCGAGAGGAGGACGCAGAGTTCATCTACTTTCAGTCTTCTTGGAATTTCTCAAAATTGCTAATTCGCCAAGGTCAGTAACCTCTCAGAGTTGCCCACATCTTTTAGAGTTTTGTGTTTCAAAAATATATGCCAGGAATAATTCTAAAAAGAGCTTTGGAAAAAAGGGCAGTGGATGGAAAAAAAGGGCAGTGGATGGCCCCTGCTCCGTCCCCAGCCTTGCCTTTTAATTGGTCCTCTTTGGCTGCAATACAAAGAACAGATGTGATTAGCCCCAAGGCACGGGCCCACGCCCAAGCTGGACACTTGCTGGTGCGGGACCAGGCCCAAGCTGGTGCTTCCCTCCCCGTGTGGTTCCAAGGCCAGGCCCTCAACACGGCCTCATCAGTGCAGGCACCAGCCACCCAGTTTGCATCCTGATTCCTCTGGAGGCAGGGACTCTGTTCTTTATGTTATTTTTCCCCACCACATGCTTTGCATGTAATAAACACCAGTAAGTTTGGAAAGAAAACCTTAGAATTGTTTTAACTTTTATTGTTTAGGATTTCTTGCACTTTCCACCTTCTCCCAGTTTGAAATATTGTTAATGCCCGTAAAAGAAGCATAGAGTTCCATCAACTGAGCAGCTTACAATTTGGGAGACTCTGATAACTCTGGTTACTCTGTCTGTACCTGAATCTCCCATTGTATATCCCTTTTTTTCCTCGATTTTTTTTCTCATTTGCATTTAGGGGATAAGTATCAGAAGCTATAACATTTGTTCGCTCATTCAATGATTATTTTTGAGTGTACATGTACCAGGCACTGTTCTATGTGTTGAAAATAAAACCTGAAGAAAAGACATAAAGATCTCATACCTCCTGACGCTGACATGCCAGTGCATCCTAGTCTGCCTTTCCATGAGGAATGGAAATCAGTGTAAACAAGTGCTTCCCAAGACCCCTCCTGGGGGTGTACTGGTTAAAGTACTTAGCTCCAAGCTATTCATCAGTAAGTTGGGGACAGCGAGAAAGCAGGCGGCACTGCCTGGACCAGACATCATCTTCTGAAAGGCTCAGAGGCCTTGCCCAGTGTCCTCATTGCCATGGCTTCACCGGAGCAAGGACAGGGAAGGTACTATTTCTACTTTACAAATGGAAATCGTGGTCCCGTGACCACCCCACAGTCATGCCCAGGATCCAGAGGCAGAAACACACTAAAAGCAATGTCTCCTGCTTTCTAAACAGCTTCCTTCAGTCTTCCAGCATTGGAAATTCTTTATATATAAAAATGAATGCATGGCATTTAAAAATATAAAAAGATAAGTTCTTCAAATTTCTGAGAACTTTTCTTTCTTTCTTTCTTTCTTTTTTTTTTTTTTTTTTTTTTTTTTTTTTTTTTTGAGACAGAGTCTTGCTATGTTGTCCAGGCTAGAGTGCAGTTGGGTGATCTCAGCTCACTGCAACCTCTGCCTCCTGGATTCAAGCAATTCTCCTGCCTCAGCCTCCCAAGCAGCTGGGATTACAGGCACATAATACCATGCCTGGCTAATTTTTATATTTTTAGTAGAGATGGGGTTTCACCATGTTGGCCAGGCTGGTCTCAAACTCCTGACCTCAAGTGATCTGCCTGCCTCAGCCTCCCAAAGTGCTGGGATTACAGGCATGAGCCACTGTGCTCAGGCTTTTTTTTATCTAAATAAGAAGTCAATTTATTGGCTCATTCATTCCTCAGGGGAGTACATTTTCTGAACTGTCATAATTTGGCTGATTTTGAACACTTTATAAAATATGCAAAATAAATTTTAGGATTCATCTAATTGCTTTTCCTAGAGCTAGTCATAATAAAACTAGTGTGGAATTTCTGTGTTTTGTAAGGTTTCTCACGGCATCCTTAACCTTAATATAAAACAGTGTCCATGTGGTAACCTTGCCTGAAGCAAGGTTTTGGAGCAGCAAGATTGACATTAGATGTGGATGTTTGTGTTGTGGGCTGCTAAGACTACACACACTCTCACATGCACATACTCACACATGCACACACTCATAGTCAACTGTCCTTGTGACTTAGAATTCAACGCTGGGCAGAAAGTGTTTGCCTTGAGTGAATATTTTGAGGCGGAGGAAATGACCACATTCTATAATCCTGCAGCCTGAAAACAGACTCCTGCTGAAGGAAGTTGGACCCGCAGGGGAAGGAAGAGTCTCTGTGATTGAACAGCTGCTGGATGAAGTAAGTGTCGCCAAAGGAGCAAGTCTCCCTGAAGAGTTTAGCCTGGCATTCCACCTCTGTCTCCTTCAGATGGAAGTTTTGTTCAGTACTGTGAAAATTATACTGCCCTTTGATTAAAAACCAGGGATGGAGTGAATGGCTAGTCAAAAGCTTTACATTAATTGTTTCCTGTTGCTAGTTTTTATATCAGAGAAAATAGACAGGCAAGCACAGAGGAGACCAAGGAGAATGCATGAAGCTGCATAGAACCTCTGGCCCGTGACCACAGAATACCTTTATCCTGGGTTTCCTAAAGAAGCAAGGTAGTCAGGGTGCCTGCCCTCCCCTCTCCACCTGTGTTGGGAACAGAAGTTTTGTCACCTGGGCAACTTTGTAGCTCTGTTCATTGTTGGTCAGGTCTTGAGGTTCCTGGTTCTCCTCTCCTTTGATCTGAAAGCACTTTAGTTCCATCAGCTCTGTGAAGGACATCTGTCGTACTTCACAGGATGGCAGCTGGATGCTGTTGAGTGCAGGGTTTTGTGGCGAGTTTGTCCTTTTCCATTTGCTGCAGGGAGCAGACCCCAACTGTTGTGATGAAGACGATCGACCCGTCATAACCGTGGCTGTTATGAATAAGCACCATGAAGCGATTCCGGTTCTCGTGCAGAGAGGAGCAGACATCGACCAGCAGTGGGGGCTGTAAGTGAAACACATCGAAAGGAGAGCTAAGATAGCAGCAGGCTAACTGCTTGGAGCTCCACTGTGGCAGGAGAAGTCTATGGACATGCCCTGTTCAGTTTCAGCCTCTTTAACCATTTTAACCTATATCAGCTTTAATAAGAGGCTTAACGCCTTCTCTTTTCCATAGCTGTGCAAAGTGAAATTTTAAAAATGGACTCTTGGGTTGCGTAATTTTGTGGCTTTTATAAATGATGATACATTTTGTTAATTCATAAACTTATGTTGTGTGGGGCCAGTAAATCCTTAGCCCTTGGGGTGTTCATCAATGTTTTCATCATGAATCATGATAATACCAAGGAAAGACAGACCTCAGTATATTCCCCATGGAAATATCCTCATGAAGTTAATGCAGAAAGAAAACGTCATACGGTTGTCTCCAGATCTAACACCACTGTGGAGAAGACTGGTACATCTGAGGTCTCCTGTGGCCTTGCTTTCCCACCTGTGAATGAAACAAGATCAAAGAAAGGAGCAGGGCCAGAGAAAGTTCAGACCTTCAATGCCTATCTCATTGCTACTTTCAGTCATGACTCCTGCCCTCCTTCACTCCTACCACCTCTGCATAGGAGCCTTTCAGGAGTCCTGATACCACCCCAGCCTCCATCTCCCTCACTAAGTCAAACCTGACCAGGAAATATAGAGAGAAAACCGGGCATTGCAGAAAAATATGCTGTGCCTGACCTCTCAGGCCTGCCCCTGGTTTCTAAGATTGGCGTTTATTTTCATGTCACATAAGCCCACCTCACTGGAGCCAAGGTCATTTTCCCCACACAAAAGTAGGAGCCTCAGCCCTGAAAAGCTACTATGGTGCCCAGGAGATCCAAGCCAAAGTTGAGGCTACGTCCAATATGTTGCATAAACTCTTGCAGGCAATTTAGAAAAATGGCATTTATTAGCATTTATTAAATCAACTACCAACCACATCCTTGTGGGTTTCTCGCATTAAAAAATGAATGTGTTGGCCGGGCGCGGTGGCTCAAGCCTGTAATCCCAGCACTTTGGGAGGCCGAGGCGGGTGGATCACGAGGTCAAGAGATCGAGACCAGCCTGGTCAACATGGTGAAACCCCGTCTCTACTAAAAATACAAAACATTAGCTGGGCATGGTGGCGTGTGCCTGTAATCCCAGCTACTCAGGAGGCTGAGGCAGGAGAATTGCCTGAACCCAGGAGGCGGAGGTTGCGGTGAGCCGAGATCGTGCCATTGCACTCCAGCCTGGGTTAACAAGAGCGAAACTCCGTCTCAAAAAAAAAAAAAGAATGTGTCTATAACCTTTTCACTCTCTAGTATCAAAGCTTACCCTCCATCACAGTATTCCTTCAAGAGAAGGGCAGAGAGGGGACTCGAGAGATTTTCCCAGGTTAGTTAAATAGGTCAGTGAGCAAAACCAAGATCTTGGGTCACATGCGGTCTCTCCAGTTTCCTGATGATGCTAAGTAAGGATTTATCTAGGATTCTTTTTTTTCCCCTATAATTAGGCTCAGAAATACAGCTCTTCATGAAGCAACTCTGCTTGGTCTTGCAGGAAGAGAGAGCATCGCCACTTTACTAGGGTATGTCTCCTTGCCTCTGATGGATACTTCTGAGGGCCACAGGGATCTGTCTAATGGCCTGTGATGATTTTAAGAGGAGCCTTGGTTCCTGAACTGCTGTCCCTGTCTATGGGAACCACCATCCCACCATAGCTCCCGGGGCACTAAGGGCTTTTCAAAGCACAATGAAAATGTTGCCCCCATTAAACACACTTGGTTGTAGGACTTTAATGCAATGGGAACCAATGGCCGGGATTAGCAATTGGACATTTTGAAATCACAGAGCCTCTTTAAAGGTTTCAGGATAGAGCCACCTCAGAGAGCTGAAGTCATGGTGACCTCTTGGGGACAGGTTTGTGGAGGTGGGATCAGGAGGTGCTCAGACTGGCCTCCATGGCAGGGAAGAGTCAAGCTCTTAGGGCCGCATGCTCAAGTCCGTCAGTGCACCACCATTTCTCTGTTTCCTTTGTAGATGCAATGCAAGCATCCGAAAGAAGAATGCAAGAGGCCAGACAGCATACGACCTGGCTCTGAACACTGGAGATGACCTCATCACCTCACTCTTTGCTGCCAAGTTTGGCCAAGGGCTCAAGGACCAACTCGCCCAGACTAGGAGCCTCAGCCTGGATGACTGTTAGACCTGAGACCTCCACGGGGCTTCATTTAAGAATATGTACAGCTCTGGCTATTCTTCAATCATGTCTTTCTGAAATGTGTATTTGAGATTAGAAATTGAGGTTGAGAGGAACTCACGAGATTATTATTATTTTTAATCATATGACAGTATAAGCCATCAGTACTAAATGGACAGCTCCCCGTATACTGTGGACTGTGATAAAATGAATGTATGTTTTTAATGGTTTATTGCTGCAGTTTTTCTTTGTATTTGATTTTTAGTTTTTAACTTATTTTTCAGTAGATAATAATTGCATATGGTTCAAAGCTAAAAGGTATGAAGTATTATGTAGGGATGTGTCCCTCTCATCCTGTCCCACAGCCACTACTTCCCTCCTCAGTCACCAGTGACACCAGTGTTGACTTCTCTTTCCAGAGGTCATACAGAGTTAGATATGCACATACATGTGGTATAAGCACATGTACATAAAACTACACATGGAATCTAAACATGTGTGTAGCACATATATATTCTTTAGCCTCTGTTAAAACAAATGGTACCAAACCAACCACACACTGTTCTTCATCTTCTTTTTGCTTGATACATCTTGTAGGTGCTTCTAATTAGTATGTAAAGATTTATCTTATTTAAATTTTTTATATGTGGAAATCATCAATATTCCCATCATTATGGTTTGTTTTTTGGTTGACACATCAGCTCTCAATAAACCACTTGCAGGAATGTGTAATTTTGACTCATTCCTTTCTTCGGGTCATTATTTTAATCTTTGGGTGGTAATGCTGCAGTTGTGAAGTCCCTAACTAGTTTATGGGAACTCAGGGAAGTCCCTAACTAGTTTATGGGACCTCAGCTCTTTGAAGTTCCTGATGGCTGGAGGCCATCTGCTGCTGCACTCACTGCAGCTGGGGCAGCAAGCCCTGCCTAGAAAGGGGATATGGGTGTTGCATCTCTGCCTGCCGTGGAGCTGCATAGGTGCCTGACCCAGGCTGCAAGACAGCTGAGGGCAGAGATCGGGGGGACCCGGGGAAGCCATGGCCCTGGCTGCTGCCCACACCTGCCAGATGAGCCAGCAGTTAGTGACTCAAGCCACATGTCCTCCCTGGATCTGGTCCTATGGCCATGTCCTCCCAAGGCCTGGCTGCTCTTCCTGGAGGGGCTGTCTGCTTTGTGGCCTTGTCCTATGTCCCCAGTGGGCTCCAGTGGCCTGGCTTGCCATTCCCTCCTTTCCACTGAGTGAGTTCCCATGTGCTCATTGCCCATTTGGTTTCTTCTGTTTTTCTTATTGACTCAGAGAATTTCTTTACAGAAATTTCTTGAATTGCCCATTTGGTTTCTTCTGTTTTTCTTATTGACTCAGAGAATTTCTTTACAGAAATTTCTTGAATCAGAGCACCTTCTAGAGTCCAGACAGTGCTGTCCAATATAAATATAATCTGAGCCCCATATGCCATCATACATTTTCTAGTAGCCATACTTCTAAAAGTACAGAGAAGCAAGCGAAATTAATTTTACTGGGATACATGGACAGACACTTTTCAAAAGAAGACATACACAGTGGCCAGAAAGCATACTGGAAAAAAAAAATCTCATTGTCACTGATCATTAGAGAAATACGTATCAAAACCACAATGATAAACCATCTAACACCAATCAGAATGGCTATTTTTTAAAAGCCAAAAATAATATGCTGGAGAGGTTGTGGAAAAAAGGGGATGCTCATACACTGTCGGTGGGAGTTTAAATTAGTTCAACTGTTATGGAAAATAGTGTGGGGATTCCTCAAAAAGCTAAAAATGAAATACCATACAACTCAGCAATCTCATTATTGGGTGTATGCCTAAAGGAATAGAAATCATTCTACCATAGAGACACATGACAGCACCATTCACAATAGTAAAGACAGGGAATCAACCTACATGTCCATCAATGACAGATTGGATAAAGAAAATGTGGTACATATACACCATGAAATACACTATACAGCCATAAGAAAAAACGAGAACACGTCTGTTGTGGGAACATGGATAGAGCTAGAGGCCATTATCCTTAGCAAATTAACACAAACCAGAAAACCAAATATCACGTGTTCTCACTTATAAGTGGGAGCTGGCTGGGAGCGGTGACTCATGCCTGTAATCCCAGCACTTTGGGAGTCCAAGGTGGGTGGATCACCTGAGGTCAGGAGTTGGAGACTAGCCCTGGCCAATGTAGTGAAACCCTGTCTCTCCTAAAAATACAAAAATTAGCCAGGTGTGGTGGTGGGTGCCTGTAGTCCCAGTTACTCAGGAGGCTGAGGCAAGAGAATTGGTAAACTCAAGAGGTGGAGGTTGCAGTGAGCCGAGATCGTGCCACTGAACTCCAGTCTGGGTGACAGAGTGAGACTTCGTCTCAAAAAAAAAAAAAAAAAAAAAAAAAAGTAGTTTTGTTCAATTCATTCACTTCAGAGAACAGCAACAACAACAAAAAAATTGGGAGCTAAATTATGAGAACAAATGGACACAAAAAGGGGGACAACACCCACTGGGGCCTCTTGTAAGGTGGAGGCTGGGAGGAGGGACAGGATCAGGAAAAATAACAATTTGGTACTAGGCTTAGTACCTGGGTCACAAAACAATCTGTACAATAAACCCCTGTGCTATGAGTTTACCCACATAGCAAACCTGCATGTGTACCCCTGAACTGAAAATAAAAGTTTTAAAAACATTTTACTAGAATAAATATTATTTCAACTTATAATTCATCTAAATCGTTAATGCAATATTTTATGTATTTTATATCATTTTTTCACACCAAGTCATTGAAATCTGGTATGCATTTTACCCTTACAGCACATCTTAATTCAATTCACCACATTTTAAATGCTCACTACCTGCAGAGGGGGGCTGGTGACAGCATAGTTTTAGAACCTTCTAACTGTGTGATAACATACACGGAGGTCATTGCATTCTGATTCCCACCCCACTAGGATACTAGCAGCACAGATATGCTCAACTTGAAGCGTGCATCTCTGTGGTTGGTGGGTTTTCCACGTCTAATCCAGGAAGAGTTCCTCCCCATCACCTGTGCAAGGCCTCTGCTTCAAGTGGTCTGGTCAAGGTACCCAGCAGGATAAAGAAAATTTACAGGGTCCGTCGGGCGTGGTGGCTCACGCTTGTAATCCCAGCACTTTGGGAGGCCGAGGTGGGTGGATCACGAGGTCAAGAGATCGAGACCATCCTGGTCAACATGGTGAAACCCCAGTCTCTACTAAAAAATTACAAAAATTAGCTGGGCATGGTGGCGTGTGCCTGTAATCCCAGCTACTCAGGAGGCTGAGGCAGGAGAATTGCCTGAACCCAGGAGGCGGAGGTTGCGGTGAGCCGAGATCGTGCCATTGCACTCCAGCCTGGGTAACAAGAGAGAAACTCCGTCTCAAAAAAAAAAAAAAAGAAAAAAGAAAAAGAAAAAAAGAAAATTTACAGGGTCATTTATTTCTGTTGTCTCCAGGGCATCTCTTGGGAGGACCTCAAGAGCTCACATCACTTGCTTCCTTTCCAGCTTCTGTTTCTGACTGTTTTGGAGTCAGGTTTTTGCTTTTTCCCGGCTAAATAGAAAATAAATAGCAGCGGTTGATTCTCTTCCACCTTCCTGTTCTTCAAGCAAATGTAAACCTAGCCTTCCTTTGTGGTTTGCTAAGAGTAGGGCCTTGTGGGAAGATAGAATGGACAAGGTAAAGCGACCCACCTTCCGCTCTCCCCTCCTTTTTCATTGTAGACCCCAAAAAGAAGAGTCAAAAGGCCACATACCTTTGTCCCTCGATGAACAGGGAATGAAGTGTGTTTACCTTCTCAGATACACGTGCAGATGCAGTTAACTGCCGTGTGTTTTTCTGAATGGAAGGAAGAGGGGCCTGGGCCTGCAGAGCCACTTGGGGGCCGCTTCTTCAATGAAGAGGGGTGCCCAGCTGGCTGCTGCTTCTGCCTGTCCTTGCCACTGCCGCTTCCGGTCCTGCTGCTGGAGGCCAGATCTGGGTGAAACCGAGTGTGGGAATTCAACCCGGAATCTAGATTTAGACTGCTCAGTATGTCTACAGAGTTCCCGAAATAGATCAGCACCTGCTTCTGGAAGGCAGAGCATTTGGATATTCCTCGGGAACACGCCTGAGATGTCTTGGTTCTTATTAGAATTGCTAACAAGAACACAGTTCCATCTCTCGTCTCTTCCCTCTCCTTCCCCAATCTCCTTCTTCATCCCCTCTCCCTCGGCCACTTTTTCTACTCATTTCTCCCAATTCCTTACCCGACCCCCAAAACTTCCTCCATGTACCCCTTCCTTCCCCCAGGCCCCACCTTCCTGTCCACATGGTCTCTTGGCTTTTCTTTCTCTCTTGGAAGTGATGGAGTAAATGCATGGTATTATTTATCTAAATTAATTGACTCAAAATTTCCCTTTCACTTTCCATGAACCCTGCTCTTTTAATAGTGACATTTTCTGTTTACCTAGACTACATAAATTTTACTTGCTGTATTTCTGTTAGTAAGGATATAAATCCCCTAGCTTTAATAGAACATTGTAATTATAAATATAATACTAGTTATTTTCAAATCTTTATTTTATGCGTAAAACTGGAATAAAATTTTTATAGTGAAAGCTAAGAACAAAGTTTTGAATTGCACAGAAAAAGAGAAATTCCATTTCTGTGGCTCCCATAATCCTCAGCAATAACGACTGTTAGTGTGTGTGCGGGCCAGGCGCGGTGGCTCACGCCTATAATCCTAGTGCTTTGGGAGGCTGAGGCAGGCGGATTGCACGAGCCCAGGAATTTGGGACCAGCCTAGGCAACATGGCAAAACCCCATCTCTAAAATAAAAATAAAAATAAAAGTAAAAAACAGCGTATGTGCAGCCTTTGGAAACCTTTATCTTTCTCTGCAATTTAACTCCATATAAAATATATAGTTTTCTTAAAGTTTGAATACAATATAATTATTCTGTAATTGGTTTCATTCATTTATACATCTTGGGGACCTTAACATTATTTGTGAATTGGCTTAATTCTTTTTAAGTGCTTTTAAAATATATATATATAAAACATAGACATACACCATTATTGTTTTAACAGAGCTAATCAACATTCCTAGTCATGTGTCAGTATTTTGTGAAGACAGATAAAAAGTAAAATTACTGGATTTAAGACTATGCATATTTTGAGTTTTAAAAGATATTGCCACAATTTCCCTCATGAGAATTGACAGTTCCACCAAAGTATGCCTTTCTCCACCCCTCCCCAGTTTTGCAGATCAAACACACGTGACTGATGTTAGTTACTTACTTAATCAACTAATTTTTGCCTGTTCCTGATTTCTTTCTTTCTTTCTTTCTTTCTTTTTTTTGAGACGGAGTTTTGCTCTTGTTACCCAGGCTGGAGTGCAATGGCGATCTTGGCTCACCGCAACCTCTGCCTCCTGGGTTCAGGCAATTCTCCTGCCTCAGCCTCTCGGGTAGCTGAGCTTACAGGGGCCCACCACCATGCCTGGCTAATTTTGGTATTTTTTGTAGAGATGGGGTTTCACCATGTTGGCCAGGTTGGTCTCGAACTCCTGACCTCAGGGGATCTGTTTGCCTCGGCCTCCCAAAGTGCTGGGATGACAGACATGAGCTACCGTGCTCGGCCCTCTTTAGTTTTGATTTTTTTTCTTCTATTAAATTCAATAAAAATGTCAAGTACAGTAATACCTTACACTTTATG